CTCCTCCTGCTTGAAACATCTCTCTTGGTCTTCTCACCATCTTTTGCAGATCCCTGTGTGAATGCTCTCCTCACTTTCCTTAGGCTCTAATACCCTGTGCCAGGCTTCCTCCCAATGTGGGTAGTCTCTTCACCCTGATTGGACTCTAACATATCACCCTAGGTGACTCCCATTCATGAATGCTCTCCTCACCTCACTTGGGCTCTAGATATTCTTTGCTGGGCTCACCTTCTGTGTGTCTACCTTTTTCACCCAACTTGGGCTCTCCCTCTCCATGCCAGGCTACTACTCTTTACTATTTCTAGTTGGATCATTCCATATCAGGCAACCTGTCCTTATGAAGTCATACTTCACTTTGCACTCTTACTGCCTTTAGGACTGAAATGTCCGGGAAGAGGAAGGGAAAGAGAAGGGAGAAGGAAAGGGAAATAAATTTTAATTACTAAATTTTTATTTAGCTCTTTGATCCATATAACTTAAAGCATATATTGACTAGTTTATTTACACTCATTTGTAATGCTGTATTAATCATAAACCAATTTTTTATATATGCATGGATCTGCTTATATATTCCCAACAATTTTATATTTCTATTTTGGTTCTTTCATCATATTGTAGTTTAAGGAGAATCGACATTTTTACCAAGTCATATAAGGAAACAGAACTTTTCAAATCTTCTATTATGTCTGTCAGTAAAGTCTTACAGTTTTCCTCATATACGTTTTATTGATTTCACCTTATTTTTTTCTTAAGTATTTTTAGTTTTCAAGATCATAAATAGTTCCTTTTTTCTCATTGTATGTTCCAGTAGATGCTAAAGAAATAGCAATTCTTTTGATTTTAAAAATTTTTTATATTGCACCAACTTTTTCACTCTTAATATTAGCTTTAACAACTTGGCATAAATGCTTTTGGGTGTTAATGTAGTAGAAACCATTCATAGGACTTGAAAATTAACTTTCAGGGGTGCCTGAGTGGCTCAGTTGATTGGGCGGCTTACTCAGTTTTGGCTCAGGTCATGATCTTAGGGTTCTGGGATCAAGCTTGTGGGTTTTCTCTCTTCCCTTGTCCCTCCTCCTGTTCATGCACTCAATCTCTCTCTCTCAAATAAATAAATAAATCTTTAAAAAATTAACTTTCAAAAGCAACATGAATACATCTGCCTTACAAAAGTGAGAGAATTACAAATAATGCTAAATCACCTTTGACCAATACCCCCAATTCTACTGTGCCCCTCAACTATTATCATGAGGTTAAGTATATGTTTCATAGAACATATATACCATTGGCGCACATTTTCCAATATTATGAAATGCGACTTTCTTTTTCATCCAAAATGTGTTTTGCTAATCTATCCTTATTGGTACATCTAAATATATTTCACTAAAAGAATATAAATATAATTCATTTCCAAATGCTCTACAGCTTTCTATTAGATGTATTACATTCCATGTGTTCATTTTATTTATTCATTCCCCAACTGAAGAACATTTAGATTTTGAAGTTTTTACAACCACAAACAATGCTGAAATGAACACACTTGTTGATGTCTCCTAGTTTAAATCTGTGGGTGTTTTTCTAGGGTAGATATAAGTCTCTGGGAAGTTTAACATTATTTAAAAAAATCATTAGTATAACTATGTGTGTCTCTTAACATTCGTGACATTCTAGGTAGTTCAGTGTACAATAGGAATGTTTAGTCTTTTCAGCCTCTACTAAAATGAACATATGATTTTTCTCTTTTAACCTGATTTGGTGAATTGTAGTAATTTTCTAATCTTGAAATATCTTTGTATTCATATGATAATCCTAATTAATCATGGTGACTTAAAAAATACTGGTTTTAATTTGTTGATAAATTTTATTTTTTTAAGATTTTATTTATTTATTCATGAGACACAGAGAGAGGCAAAGACATAGGCAGAGGGAGAAGCAAGCTCCCTACTGGGAGCCTGATATGGAATTTGATCGCAGGTCCCCAAGATCAGACCTGAGCTAAAAGCAGAATGTCAACCACTGAGCCACCCAGATGTCCCAGTTTGCTGATATTGTATATAAAACTTTTCCATCTATGTTCATGAGCCTCATTGACCTAAACTTTTCCTTTTTTATATTCTCCTGGCCCAGATTTGATACTAGAGTTTTGCAAGTTTTATAAAATGCTTCAGATATTTTTCCATCTTTCCTATGTCCTGGAATCACAAGTATAACATAGGAATTATATGCTCTTTGAACCTTGGTAGAACTCATCCCTAGTGATTGTTTTTCCAATTAATAGTTAATTATGTAATCAAAGTCCTCCATACCCCCACTTATTTTTAAAATCTGAGATACCTATTTCCAGGGTAGTTATATATTTGTATCTTCTGCTTCTATTACAAATTGTCAAAAATTTCCCATAATTCTAATATTTAGTCTTAGCTATGTTCTTAGAGTGACAGGAGTTCGGGTGTATATTTGTAGAATTTATCCTTTATTAATATAAAATCCAGGGATCCCTGGGTGGCTCAGCGGTTTGGCTCCTGTCTTTGGCCCAGGGCACGATCCCAGAGTCCAGGATGAGTCCCGTGTCAGGCTCCCTGCATGGATCCTGATTCTCCCCCCTCCTGTGTCTCTGCCTCTCTCTTTCTCTATGTATATCATGAATAAATAAATAAGTAAATCTTTTATATATATATATATATATATATATAATCCTTTTTTAAATTTTTTTTTAAATTTATGATAGCTACAGAGAGAGAGAGAGAGAGAGAGAGGCAGAGACACAGGCAGAGGGAGAAGCAGGCTCCATGCACCGGGAGCCCGACGTGGGATTCGATCCCGGGTCTCCAGGATCGCGCCCTGGGACAAAGGCAGGCGCCAAACCGCTGCGCCACCCAGGGATCCCTATATAATCCTTTTTTCTTTTGATTTTCTTTTCAATTATATTAACATTGCTATATCCATCCTTTAACCTAGTATTTTCAAGCTTTCTGTGTCATTGTTGGAGCTTGCTTGCAGTCAAGTTATAGCTGGATTTTGTTTTTAATCCAGTGTGTCTTTTTAATTTACGAGTAAAATTAACCCATTTATATTTATTGTAAATACTGATGTTTGGACTTACTTCTCTCGTCTTATTTTTTTCTATTTACTGTACTTCCATCTTGTTTCCTTTTCTCTTCTTGCTCTCATTTCTGGCTTTTTTTTGGACTGGATAGGTTTTCTTTGTTCCATTTCCCCCCTTCCTAATAGTCGGTGAATTATAAACCCAATTTAATTCTACAATTTGTATTTAGACTTAAAAATGTACTGAATGTCATATAGTCAGAACATATATGTTAAAGGTCAATACCTGGAATTAGCCTGTATCTATAACCCCTTGAAAACCTTTCTGAACTTCTTCTGATTCCCAGTTTCACACTTGTAAAGCTGGGACCTTGAGTTATTCACTTAATTTTCATTTATCTTAAGGATTAAATGTGATGTCATGTCAAGCTCTAGCCTTTATTAAACAAGGGGTCTTCAATTCCTTCATTCTCTTTCTTCTTCATTCAGCCAAAAAAAACTTCGGGTCCAATAGACACAATCACCTTTTTTCTCCTTTGTCCTTCAAAGTCACCTCTTCCTATTTCTTGCATCATTATGGCCTTCATCTAGTCTTTCAATTTCTATATAAGACTCATAATATCTTCTCTTCCCTTTACATAAAAAAAAGAAATCCCATTCTGCATTGTACTGAATGGCCTCTCTTGCTCTAGATTCAATGAACGTCATTTCCCAATGACTCCATGCCTTTCTTCATTTTTCCTTCAAAATGGCGGACTTCAGACGTTCCACGAATAACACCACGTGCGCCTGCGCCTCCCGCGGCCATTTCGCCCAGCAGCCCAAACTCCAGCCTCTGCTTCGCGAAGCGCCTGCGCAAGAGCCTCCAGAGCCCGGTGGCTCCGCCCCCTAGCTGAGTACGCTTGAAACCGCACGTTCCCGTCCCTTCCCTCCCCCGCTGACTCTGCACCGCCCTCACCCCTTTCCTGTGAGATTCTTCCGCCAAGTGGAAAGCCCATCTTCCGTCGACAGCCCACGCAACTGAAGAGCAATCCGATAGGCACATACAGCCCTGGGGCTCGTCATTCAGTCTTATCTATGCACCCCTGCAGTTTTCCTCTGGGCCCTAAAGTTGATAAGCGATTTCGCGGGACTCTTTTGCATGCCGTAGGCAACAAATGGAAAGAATGGCTATGGCGGAGGGATCTCTCGCTCACGCTCTGTGTACTTTAACCTAATGGGGGTCGTCCGGGAGTCGCTCGGAAGGGGGAGGGGAGAGGGAGGAGGCAGCCAAGGAATTGTTTTTTTCTCTCGCCCCGCCTGCGCCAGGCCGGCCAATGGCGACGGGCTGTTTACCCAGGAGCCTCGCCCAGCTTCCTGGCCGGGGCCAATGAGCGGCGGAAGCGGCTCCGAGGGGGCGGACCCGAGAGGCTGTGCGTGTCTTGTGAGAGCTCTTGAACCAAGTCAGAGCTAGAGCTGGGCGGCTGGAAACGGCGGCAGCCGCCGGTGACTCAGGGAGGCAGGAGGCGGGGTAAGAGCGCCGCGGCCTCGGCTGAGGGGAGACGAGGAAGAAAGATGAAGGCGCCGATCCCGCGGCCCCGCCGCCCCCGCGCCGCGGCGCAGGCCGGGGCGACGGACGCCCGGGGGTCGGCGGCCGGGAGAGCGCCGTGTCGGGGCGGGGCGGGGCGGCGGGGCAAGTGCGGAACCGCGGGCCGGCCCCTCCCGTGGGGCCGCCCGGGGCGGGGACGCGGCCGCCCCAGACGGGGCCCTCGCTTCGGGCCTTTTCTTTCCCGGAGTGGGGGGGCGGGGGGGCAACACTTTAAAATCCACTTAGGCTGCAGATAATTCTCCCCTCACTCCCTCCTCGTTTAGGTTTAAGGTTTTGGAAAAGCGAAAGTTGGGAGAACGAGGGTCACGCGGCGGTTGGGCCCGTGTTTGCGGTGGGGGAGGGATCCGGGGGGCGGGGGAGGACGCCAGTGTGGAGATCGGGGGTTGAGTCCTCCCTCGCACCGGCCGCCGCCGCCGCCGCCGCCGCCGCCGCCGCCGCCTGGGGTCTCGTCAGCCGAGCGGGATTGGGACCCATCCGTCCGCCCCTCCGCCGCCGCTTCCCCCGCGTCCTCTTTTCCCGACCCCCTCCCACCGGCAGCCCCCACTGCATTTTGTTTTTGTATTTTTGCAGGGAGGAGCCCTTCCTGCAGGCGTGGAAACCATGGTGCTCACGCTCGGAGAAAGTTGGCCAGTATTGGTGGGGAAGCGATTCCTCAGTCTGTCCGCAGCCGACGGCGGCGACGGCGGCCACGACAGCTGGGACGTGGAGCGCGTCGCCGAGTGGCCCTGGGTCTCGGGGACCATTCGAGCCGTCTCCCACACGGACGTTACCAAGAAGGACCTGAAGGTAAAATCAGCTCCCGGGCCTCAGCTGTCGGACGTTTTGTAGTTACCTTGGTAACGAGACAGCCCGCGGGGGGGCCCCCCTCCCCTTTTCTGAAAGGGCGATCAGAAAGTTGGCATCTGATCTGAAGGTGCAGAAAACGAGACCTTGAAAGTCTTTGAAATGGTTGTGTAGAACCGAGGTGTGTTTGGCCTACAGTTGCCTGTGTTTAATGACGGCCTTGGGGTTGCTCAGACACGCTTCGCTGTTGCCCGCTCTGTGCCCTAATAGGACTGTATGATTACTCCTCCGAAGGGGGAGTATCGTGAATATTAAGATTGGTCAGGTAGATAGATGATGTGAGGAATCATTAAGAATTGATGGCTAGCGCTTTCGGGTGGTTGGTTTGTTTGTTTGTTCCTCTTGATTTCTTCCGCCAACTTGTTAAACTTTCAGACTTGTTGGAAATGAAGTGAATGAAGAGGGAGGAGCTTAGTTCTGTTTGGCATATTAGGGTGGGTACTTGTCCGTATATGGTGGGTCACGGTGGAAGTGGGTTCCAGGTCTTTTCTGTGAGGAGTCCGTAGGTAGGTGTGGGCTTTGACCATATATGGAGGGCGGGGGTGGAGCCGACCCTTATATGGTGTGTTAGAGGAATGGCTTTGAAATATATTCCACTTTGGTGTTTGGGTGGAGGGAGAGAAACTAGTACAAGTGTGGACAGTGATTTTTAATCAAAATGACACTCAGAACCGTTTTCAGTTACATCTTTTCAAAAAGAGGTGGAATTCTAATTGTGCTAATAGAAAATTTTTGGTGGCAAAGGATTGTCTGGGAACAACCAGTAAGGAAGCTATTCTACCAACAAAGACTCCTTTGTGCAAAAATAACTGGAGAAAGAAAGGTCCCTAACAAAGACTCCAAAGTGGTGATAACTTGAAGGAAGCCTGCTAGAACAGAAGAGATTTCCACCCTGGGTAGTGGATATGTTTCAGCATCTTCACTTGGTCATTACTGCTTTTTCTTGAAAACTATATTCAGATTGGGAGGAAGTTTTAGCATTGGCAGTTGAATACATGTTGATTTCTGACACATCATTCATTTGAACACTTGAAGGTGACAGTACATGCCAAAACCAGGTTTAGTCTGCAAAGGATTGTTGGAAAAGAATATGTGTTCATACATTTTTAAAGTTTTCAGCTTGTGTTGTCTTCATATTGAAAAGGAGTGACTGTTGACACTTATCCATATGCCAGGCATGATACTGAACACTTCATAGCCATGATCTTATTAATCCTTACAGCAGCTCTTCGGGAGTAGGTACTAATATTGCTGCATTTTACAGACAAAAATATCTGGCTTGGGGAGATTAAGTATCTTACCAAGGTCACATACCTAGAAATTGGCATAGCCTGTGTTCTCACCCAGGAGTTTTGATAACCACCATCTTTACCAGTATGCTCCCTGTGCCACAAAAGAACTGTCATACACTGTGAAGTTTGGTTTTTCTCCTTTTCATTCTTCCCAGCAAATGGAGTTTTGTGGGCGAACCTATTTGCTTTAGGCTAATAATCTTTCTCCATACAGTGGGCTTTGTGTACCAGATTTCAATCATAGTTGTTGTGGTTTATTTCACCTGCCAAGTAAAAATTTTTCTAGTGCATTTGTTTTTATCTGATTTGAATGGAAACAAGATTTGAGTCTTTAGTTCTTTGGCAGATGATGACAGACTAGGTGTTCTCTTCCCCAACAGGACCTAATTATAGACCTGTTGGATTAAGAAGGCAATCTAGGAGGTCCTTTTTGTGTATTCTTTTTAATTTCCACTTTTCTGCCACCCTCAGTCTTTGAGGTGGTGGTAATAACTCCCATTTGCAGAATGAGAAAAATAGATTTGGGAAAAAGAGTCTTGCCCAGATTTGCATAATTAGCTGCCCAGTGATGGAGGGAGAATTTGAATTTAGGTTTGGCTGTGTCTTTTCCATTGCACTAAGGTGCCTCACCTGATGATAAACAGGGATTTTCATTTCAAGAACAATTTTAACTGTAGTTGATTTTTGCTTTACCTGCAGACTTTGAAATTCAGCCTTCATGTAAGGTGGAAATTACTTGATTTCTTTTATGTAGTCATGATTTATCATTACATTCCTTAATTGAGTAGCAGATGGTTTAAGTTTAAGGGCATATTGTGTTAGCAAAAACATAGAATTTCAAAACTCTAGAACTAAATTGTGCTTGGGGAAATGCAGGCAGGAGCTAGTAACTTAAGACCATGCTTGCACTTGAGCTTAAGGTATTGAGTTTTTGAGGTTGGAGTGAGACTGGGGTCTAAGATGAGTATAAATGAATACAATTCCAGTTGTATGCAACTGGTTTGGTGTTAGAAGTACACGTTCGTCTAGTTTGTTTCGCTATTAGTTGAAGATGATGTAATGAGGCCAAGGCTTGTTAACTTTGTTTCACCTTGAGAGAGAGTTTATAACAAAGTCACTCACTGAGATACAATATGTTTAGTTGTTGGTTACAGAGAGTCAAGGTGAAGACATAATGATGGTTAAGTGCTTATTATGTGGCACCTTATTTAATTCTGAAAAATATCCTAGATAATAAACCATATTTTTTAGTGTTAGAAAAAGAGGCTTGAAGAAGTTAAATAACTTGCCTAAGTTTGTCTCTAGATTTTAAACACCAGGCTTTTTAATATTCAGGTAGAGTGAGATTAAAGCACTGTCTTTAGTGGGCCTTTATATTCTTAGCACTTAGAACACTGCTTGGCATGTAGTGTTTGCTGAAGTATTTGGACGAATAAATGGAAGGAATCAAAATTATTCTACATTGAAAATCAGTTTTAGAAAGAATCTACTGATGGAGCAGTGGCATCCTCTTTCCCTGGAATAACAGCAGATCTTTATTAGGTGTGGTTATTAGAACCTCTTTTTATCCTATTCTTTCTTCTTGAGAGTGAGACAAGGGTCTTCATTCAATTTGCATGCTGGAAAGGTCTTTCTTCCCCAGCTTGTCTGTTTAGGTCTCTTCCAATTCCCTTTCCTTTGAACCTAACTTATCATTGAGTCTTCTGCTCCTTCTTAGTCCTTAGGGATATCCCTAACTAGCACACGAGTAGTACTAGCCATTTCTGTGTACCATTTTCTGCTGTTAAAAATTTCCTTTTTGGCAATTGGGTGCCTTGACCAATGCCTAGCCTTTTCATCCCTACATACAATTGGAATATGAATATTGATAGATTCTATTGCCAGTCGAACCATGTAAAATGAGAAATTCCTAGCAGTGTAATAAAGTCTGTTTACCCCTATAATTGAATGCTACCCAGGCACCCCTGTTGTTCTTTTTATAGAAATTTTTGCATAAGAGCCGGGGGGGGGGGTGTCCCTGGGATTTTAGATAAGTATTTTATTTAGGTGTAAGAAGACATAGAAACATAAATAATTTCCTCATTTGTGGAGACTGAAATAAGTGATAATCTACGTTATAGTTCTGGGCACAGAATAGATATGTCATTAAAAGCTTGACTAAAAACTATGCCATTCTGTAAGTGCCTGCTTTTAAACTTGGAAATATTTTACTTGGCATTTCTGATGGTTTTCTTAATCATATACTCAGATGAGATTAATGTATGTTAAGAGTGAGAGGTTTGAGATTAGCTTGATTAGATACAATATTCGTGTATTAAAAAAATTTTCTGTTGGGGAAAATTAACTTGAAATAATTAATTTGAAATATTCAACATTTAGTCCAGATATGTATAGGCTAATAAGTACACATTTACAAAATGTCCTATTAGAAGAAGAATGGCAAGTTTGGAAATTGTAGGTAGCGAATCATAATCAACTGGCCTCTCTTTGGGCTTTGGAATCAGACAATATAAATAACATCTACTTTGTGTACCAAAGGAACATGGGGAGAATAATACAACTTATTTTTAAGATTTTCTTTGAGAGTGAGCAAGAGAGAACATGAACAGAGGGAGAGGTAGAGAGAGAGGGAGCAGCATACTCTCTGCTGAGTGGGGAACCTGATGATGTGGGGCTCAATCCCAGGACTTGGGATCTTGACTCAGGGTCTGTAGAAGGCCAGTGCCTAACCAACTTAGCCACCCAGAGACCCGGGAATAATACAATTTAAATGAGAACTAGTGACATCAATAAGCTTGCAGAAGCTTGGTCAGGTCACTTTAGTTCCCCATAATTTGAATTTTTTTTATTGGTGTGCCTTTTGGAGGGGAATGGATCAGAGGGAGAAGTAGGGACAAAGAGAGAATATTAAGCAGATTCCACACCTAGTGCTTGAGCGCAGCGTGGGGCTCCATCTCAAAACGCTGAGTTCGGGCAGCCCCGGTGGCACAGCGGTTTAGCGCAGCCTACAGCCCAGGGTGTGATCCTGGGAAGCAGGGATCAAGTCCCACGTCGGGCTCCCTGCGTGGAGCCTGCTTCTCCCTCTGCCTGTGTCTCTGCCTGTCCCCCCCCCCTGAATAAATAAATAAAAAATCTTTAAACAAAAAAACAAAAACAAAAACAAAAAAAACCCCTGAGTTCATGACCTGAGTTGAAATCAAGAGTCCAGTGCTTAACCCACTGAGCTACCCAGGCACCCCTGGTGTTCTTTTTATAGAAATTTTTGCTTAAGAGCCTTGGGGGGGGGGGCGCTCCTTATAACCTCAGGCTTCAAGACACAAATGGGAGAGACATTTGTGGTTATGATAGGAAACTTTTGAAAGAATGAAGAAAGTTCACAACTTGTTGGTTTCATTATATTTTTTAAAAGTCATCTTTTTTAAAAGTCAAGTTAAAGTGAGTTTTTGACCAGTGGAATCTAATACTCTGAAGCCATAAACTAAGTTCTTTTTAAGGAGCTAAACTTAATTTTTGAATTATTAAAAATTGGGATATAAAGAAGAAGGGGCTCTAAGTTTTGGTTTAGGGTTGATCATAAGCCTTACAGAGATTTGATAAGAATTGTGATGTTGCTTAAGTTTGGGAAAGCTACTGAAGATCTCTTAATCCTTTACTTCCCCCCCCCCTCAATAGATATTGGATAATTTTATTTAGGATCTTCTCTTCCCTAACTGAACTGATACCCTGATAAATTAAGATTTGAATTACCATTGAAATCTTAAGACTGTCTAATCTCCTTGCCAGATACTTTATGTACCTTCTCTTAAAATTTCACCTAATGATTCAGTGAGAGGTAGGTGTTAGCACTTTCATTTTGTAGCTAGCAAAACCAGTTTCAAAGAACTTAGGTTTAAGCAAGGGTTCTTAACCTGGCATGCAGGCTAATTGGTTTTCTTTGTAATGCTACATATTTTATGTGGTTAAAATCATCCTAAAAAAGCTTCAGCATAGCTGGGATTCAAACCCAGATTTCTCTGGTGCTGTAGTTATATATGCTCATTCCTCTTACACCGCATTGATGGGAAAACTCATCTAAAGCTAGTTTGGGTTTGAGGTTGATGTGATATGGAGCAGAAAGACTATCTAATTTAGGGGAGCTATCATAAGACCTGTATTCTGTGACTGAGGAGGCAGGAAGATGAGCAGTCTCTAAACTCTGTGAAGGACCATTTGATTGGGCGTAGTGATGGATGGAATGCACAGAACCAAGGAGAGCGTACACAGGGCCTTGTCACATAATAGGTACTTACACATTTATATGGGTTCTGTGATAACTGCAAGATTAAAAAGCCTGCAGTACCAAGAAGATATGCATATTCTGAAAGAAAGTTACCTGAAAGTTAGGGACACAGATTTTAGTGTTGGAGGAGAAGGATGGGTTTTAAATTTCATTGATTTTTTTAAAGATTGGTATTTATAAAGCCATAAAATTAGAGAAGATTTGGGATTAGGGCTAGTGGTATACCAGTTGGGAATGTCCTGCCTTCTAAATGTCTGAGAGTAACTGAAGGTAAGAGGCCAATTCAGAGAGAAATTTATTCATTCAACAAGTATTTCAGTACTGACTGGGGACTGGATACTAGTGAAATACAAAGGTAAATAAAAACATATAGTTTGACCTATTAGAACTTATGTCAATCAGTTAGCCACAAATAAATAATACAAAATGTGGGTACATGGTGAAGGAAAAGTATGGGGCTTTGAGTACATTTAACAAGGAGGAATTCTCTTTGGTGGGGAATGGAGGCTCTTTGGTTAGGGAAGGCTTCTTTGAGGAAAATATTTTTTGAGTTCTGCAGATGAATGGAAGTTAACTTATTTAAAGTTAAAGCTTGGAAAGGAAGTGTGATTGTCTATGAAATTATGAGAGGCTAACCCTAACCCTAACCCTCTTTAGTAAGAAAGGGGTTTTAAATAAAAATAATGATTTTACACCAAATATTGAGGGCGTTTAGCTCAGGTGTCAGTTTATCAACTATTTGTTTCTATATTTAGCAAAGTAGACTTTGACTCCAAACTCCCAGTTTATTCAACTCAAAAGGATGTTGAGGATGTGCTGTCTTCTAGGCCTTTAAGTCTGAATCCTATGCATACCAAAGGGATTCAAAACAAGGGATTATGGTGATGGGATGGTCTTCTTAAGCCCACAGTGTCATTTAGAATTACAATGACATGCAATAAGTAATTCTTTTAGGTTTCAAATTTCTTTCTTTTGATTCTCAAAGCTCTGATGTCTAACATATGTAAAAACTTTCTACATGGGGGTTCTTTGGCTTTCTACAAGTTACTTTTGAGGCAGAGACTGGCTTCCAAAAGCCTTGACTGCCGCTTCTCAAAGTGATTTGGGAGCCAAAGCTTGATGGTTAGATTAACATGTCTGATTGGTTTATTGTGGACTGGGAAGGGAAGTAAGAGTGGGAAAGAGGGACAAAATATTCAGATAAAAGATTGAAGTAGAGGAGCGCCTAGGTGGCTCAGTAGGTTGAGTCTGCCTTCTGCTAGGGTCATGATTTCTGTGATCTCGGGGTCCTGGGATCGAGCCTCGCATAGGGCTCCCTGCTCAGTGGGGAGTCTGCTTCTCTCCCTGGCCTCCCCGCCACCTTATAGTGTCTCTCTCTCAAATAAATAAAATCTTTAAAAAAAGATTCAAGTAGAATAAAGGTATAATTCAACTTTGGTATTTTTCATGTTTATTTTTGTTAATTGAATCTGCTTTTTTTTCACTTCTGTTTAGGTGTGTGTGGAGTTTGATGGGGAATCTTGGAGAAAGAGAAGATGGATAGAAGTCTATAGCGTTCTAAGGAGAGCATTTTTAGTAGAGCATAACTTGGTTTTGGCTGAACGAAAGTCTCCTGAAATTTCTGAACGAGTTGTTCAGTGGCCTGCAATAGTGAGTACAACTTGAGGTTATGAGACCAGGGGATTTAATCCATTATGAGTGAAACAAGGGAAATGTATATGGAATGCCTGTATTTGGCCTCTGGAGAATAGTACAGATAAGGAATCTCCTGTTAGCCCTGCTAGGAACCCTGTAACTCTGTGCCTTTGACTTTTCAGCCCTCAGTTTCTTCACTTGAAAAATGGGGTTGGAGGTAATGTGGGGGAAAGTCTAGGTCAGAGGTGAGAAACAATATATATGTATATGTATATTTGGATTGATTTTCTTTTTTTTTTTGGATTGATTTTCATAACATTTTAAGAAAGTTTTGTGTTAGTCATCTACTTTTAAAATATGGAAAGTATACCTTAAAATCTGGCTGTTGCCTAGCTCCTGTAGGGGTTGCCAGTCTTGGCCTCATGATCTCTAAGGTTCTCTCTGACTCATGATATTCTTTGGCTCTGAAAGTACTGGCAGTCAGTACATGATTATGCCATTTCCACATCATAAATCTGATGTAGTAGATAAGAGTGATCATAGTGTCTGGAGAGGACAATTCAGGTTTTGTGAGACATAGGGCTTAACAGTAGAAGGGCAAGATTTAGACAGAAAGGCTAGGAAGGTGGCTGAAAGGCTGACCAGATTGTGTAGGGCCTAGCATACCATGCTAGCAAAGTTAAGATTTTGCCTGTGGGTGAGAAGAGCTGCTGGAGGTTTTTGAGTGGTATAGATTTTGGTTAAAGTTATATTTTTCTCTTTGTATCCCTCTCTCCCCCAGCTATTAAGAATTTGCCAAAAACATGGCCCTATCTCCCCCAGAAAAAATGTATACACACAGTTTTTTGCATAAATTTTGGAGAAGTCATGTATCTCTGGACCCAGACCTATGTGTTAATGACTCCCAAATGTGTATCTGGTTTAAATGATTTTGGATAAAAATTGTGTGATCGCGTTGTGGTTGCATAAGTAGTTGTTGTTGAGATGCCAGCAGTAAATAAAATTAGTGGTTTTATCTTTTTCTGCATATGTGGAAAATTGCTAGTCACCATTTTCAGAATTATTCTGACAGCAGTTGTGATGTCAGAACCCTTTTGTTTTATTTTAGGTGTATAAGTCTCTGTTGGACAAAGCTGGTTTGGGATCCATAACCTCTATTCGCTTTCTGGGAGATCAACAAAGAATATTTCTTTCTAAAGACCTTCTGAAGCCTATACAGGTAAAGCATAAAGAAATATTAAGCTCTAAAGATAGAAATATAAATTTTTTAATATGAGAACTATAAGTATTGACGTTGATGGCTCTAATTCTAATAAATACCTAACACAGAAATAGACCCATCTCATTAGCAGTTAGTTGTTAGACATTACCCTTCGGTGTTAGCCATTGGGGTTGGTATTGTCTATTTGGGATTGGAAGTTCAGAAGTAGTACAGTTGATGATCTGTATTTATATATGGAAACACCTAGATGATATGAAAATAATTTTTGAAAGATTGACTATCATTCACATGTATGGCGGTCATTATTTATGTATTATATAATGTGGGAAGTTGCCTACTTGTTAGAATATATTTTTAACCCCCAAATCAGTTCTTAGGCACTTTCATGGTCATTCATAGACATGGCAGAGTGGTAAAAAATTTGAGTTACCTGACATATGTTCCCAGCTGAAGTCAAATAAGGTGACATTCTGCTGGCTTGTTTCCTCTCTCATTCTGTAAACAAGTGTGGTTTATGAGGTCTATTTAGTGTTGAATTTTTGTGCTTTTTTTTTTTTTTTTTTTTTTTTTTTTTGTGGTGGTGGTGGTGGTTTCACTGTACCAAGTATGAAGTGCTCTCTAGTGTTCCTAAGTGTAAGGTCAGGATGTGTCTTAGGGAGGAAATATATATGGTAAATAAGTTTCATTCAGCCATGAGTTACAATGCTATTGGTTGTGATTTCCAGGTTAATAATGCAGCAGTATATATTAAATAATGTGTCTTCCACAGAAACACACTTAACACATGGTTGTGTATAGGTTGGTTAATGAAACTGTGACCAAGAAATAGGAACCTAACCCTATTTTTCCACTAGGGGCAGTGGTTCACTATTCACTAATTCATTGTTTGTGGTGACTTAATGAAACATAACTATCATAAATGTTGAGAATTGAGATCACGTGCATGTTTTTTCCAGTTGGCTTGCAAAACTCCCACCCTTTTCTGCATAACATTTAGGTTCTTGGGTCTTGCTTACATACGGTTATTTTCTTGGAAAATGTTTGAAGACCGGGAAGGAACACACAGATTATCTCTAGATTATTCCCTTGGGAATAATGTTGGTCATATAATAACATTTATCTTTTAGATGTCATTTATGAAACTTCATCCTTTTACTCACTTCCATTTGGTGACCTGTCTTGTTTCTGTGGACTGTACAAAACTTAAAGTCACTTATTTGTCATAAGGCAGTTCAGGGCCCATGGTCATTGCCATTGGTATGCCTGTATGGGAAAACCCAAAGCACTGGATTTTCCTCTACTTAAGTCTAATTTCTGTATCATGAAAGTTCTGAACCTTATTTTAATGTTTAAATAGAACAAAGAAAGTGCTTTTGCTTCAGTTAATTTCAGGTGCAAGTTACCTTTGTGATGTTAGGTAGGAATATTGATATTTTTCCTAGCTTAAAAGAATGGCTTGCTCTTAAGGACCAAAGAACATAGTGGAGGGGCTTTTGGATAACTTACTTTGCTTCATGAGAGTAGTTTTTACTTCTCACCATTGTTTTCTGGACAGTTCTGTTTCATATCTTTTGTGTGTCTAATCCTTTCAGTCAAAATTTCCTGAGGTTGAAAAGGCAAAATCTAGATGAGTTTTTATTTATTCTCAGGGAGATGCACTGTGGCTATCCATGTGAATATACTATTAATTGAGGAAGGTTATGTGTGCTCTTGACTTTTACTGATGATGATAGTGCCAAAATTTAGTGCTTCAGGGCATTCTTCTATATATATGGATGATTATATCAGGGTTCTGCTGTATGAAACTATGTTTAGGGATATGATTATTATAGTAAAATGCTTGCCCTAAAAAATGCACAGAGAACCTGAAAATCATTTAGCATATATAGAAGTTGGAATTGAAACTTAAGGTCTGTTCTTTGGATTGAATTTGAGTTATTTATCTGTGGTTAAAAAAAAATAAAGTACTCAAATCAGCTATCTGACATTCAGACTCTCCAAGGTAGAGTAGAATTATTCTACCTTGTTTAAGAGCCATTTGTGGCTCTCCCCATTAATATGCTATTTCTTAGTAGGAATTAGAGCACACATTTACATTTTTTTAAATTACAGCAGCATGAGGGAAAAAAACCCCACACACGGACCATTCTGATAATTAATGTTGAGCTCTTCTGAAGACCCTAGGTTAAGTCTAATGTTATTTGGCATAAGAAATGCATTTTTCCAGTATAGCATCTTTTTTTTTAAATTTTATTTATTCATGAGAGAGAGAGAGAGAGAGAGAGAGGGAGACCGAGACACAGGCAGAGGGAAAAGCAGGCTCCATCAGGGAACCCAATGTGGGACTCAATCCTGGGTCTCCAGGATCAGGCCCTGGACTGAAGGCGGCCCTAAACCGCTGAGCCACCAGGTCTTCCCCCAGCTAGCATCTCTAAAGCACTATTCTTCCAAGTGGGAAAAATAGATGAACCATTTTTGAGCACTATGTATCCATTTCACAGTAGCACAAGAGCCATAAAGGCCTGGTATTAGAAGGGCTTCTGTGCTATATAGCTTGTATTTGGCAGGCTATTCGTATTGACAGTCTCTGTATACATTTATCATAAGTTAGTGTGTGCACAAGGCCAAAAGACTATGGGACTGTGCCCAAAATGGAGCTCTTGCCAAGAACTGAGTGTTTCAAAACTGGGTTGCTGAAAACTTAGGCTGTTCATTCAGGTTTTGTCCCTTCCCATCCCCCCTTTACCATTTGTAAATAAGAATGCATTTGGAATGCATTTCTAGTCAGGTTAAATCAATCTGTGTCAAGTGATTCATTAAAAACAATTTCAGTGAATTTACACTACATAATTGTGTGTTTTTATGTATGTGTTTTCTGTCCCTGGGAATTCTAATGAGTTGACCAGCTAGTTTGTTTTCTTATATTTCCATAGTCAAAGTTGTATTGTATTTAAAATTGTGCTTTGAGCCACTCTTAGGATTTGTCATCCTCTTAGCTTAGGGTGACTTCACTTTAGTCTCCCTTACACCTACTGTTTGACCTATTAATAAGTTCATTGGAGTTGCAGTGGTTTGGTGCCATCAAATGGCTAATGACAGTATTTAACATTAAGCTGATTGAAGCATCCACTAGAATTTAAACGACTCTGTTACCTTAAAATATAATGATCTTCCATTTTTCAGGATGTAAACAATCTTCGACTTTCCCTTATGGATAATCAGAATGTCAGTAAAGAATTTCAAGCTTTGATTGTGAAACATTTGGATGAAAGCCATCTTTTACAAGGTATGAAGTTTATTTTTTGGTGATAGTTTATGAGTTGACCAATGGTTAGCTTTGTAAGAAGCTGCATTTGAGTCCTCATTCTCCTATTGAGATTTCTAATTTTTTGGAGATTCCTTTTACTTTCTGCATGCAACTAGATGATTGATGAACTTTATTTTAAAGCATCTGAAATTTGGAAAGCTCAGGACTCATGTGTAAACTAGTAAGGTAGATATTTAAAAAGCTCGGCTGTATTTTGACATGGAATTTGATGTGTTTGAAATTTCAGTCTTATAAAACTGGTAAAACACGAATTTGGTACTGCTGATCTCCCATATACTGTTACTGAATTTCCTGGTCAATTTCACAGTCACATAAGTATTTTATAAGACTTAGCAGTTCTGTTGGGGTTCCTGAATTTGGATCCCCTAAAACTCTGCACAGGACAGTGAGGGCTCAGTGAGTTATCTGGTACTACTTGGTCTTATACAAATGCTGGAATAAATATATTGCTACTTTTTACTCCATTTTTCTATTAATTTACCTAAAAGTTTAAAATTAAAAGTTTCTCCTAGCTTTTTGCTGAAAATGTTGTCTTCTCATGTTTATAGCGATATCTTTTAATGTTTATTTTTGTCTACTTTTTTTTTAGGTGACAAAAACTTAGTTGGTTCAGAAGTAAAAATATATAGCTTGGACCCATCTACTCAGTGGTTTTCTGCAACCATTGTAAATGGAAACCCAGCGTCGAAAACTCTGCAAGTCAACTGTGAGGAGGTAAAAGATGATGCTAATTGCATGTAAGATAACTTGACAGAAAGAGAATTATAAAAAAGAATTAGATCTTATAGGATCTAAAGCAGTTTTATTATCTTGATATTAAAATATTAGAGTAGAAAAAAGAAATGCAGTGATTGTTTTTAAAAGAAATTATTTTTAAGAAGCTTCCTTGTATGTTAACAGAGCTAATTTCTGGTATGTTTCTGAGCATTTTTAAGTTTTCTAGTATCTTTGTTTTATTTATTTTTAAGATTCCAGCACTGAAAATTGTCGATCCATCACTGATTCATGTTGAAGTTGTACATGATAACTTTGTGACATGTGGTAAGATATATTATTTGATTAAAGCCTTTGTTCTCCTTCCTGTCTTTCATCTTTCTCCTTTTCATGTTAAGAAAACTAGGGAAGCCAACCTACCTATTTTTTAAATATTCTAGGTAATTCTACAAGAATCGGAACTGTAAAACGCAAGTCTTCTGAAAATAATGGAAGCCTAGTTTCCAAACAAGCAAAATCTTGCTCTGAGGTAACCTGATTAATGTTTGTCACTTGTGTAGTTTCCTTAACTCTAACGGTGTGTGGCCAGCTTTGTTAGTGTTTATAGAGTTCTCTTCTGTGCTGTTCTTTGCTGTCTTGTCTACTCTGCTGGTTCCAGATCTTGGCCATAATTTCTACACTCATGCAGATGGAGATAATATAAGTTTATGATCAACTATTTTTTTGTGTAAAACATGTTTTATTTTTTGATAATGCTGAAAATTCTCAATAGATTTGACAATTTCACCCATAAGAAGTGTTTTTTAGGTAAACTGAGTTGTGTTATCTAAGTACAAGAAAGCCTGGCATGAGTGGAGGGGGAGGAACCTTAGAAATCTGAGTAGGTATTGAAATAGGACTCCCTTTTCTCAGTAATAGAGAGGTTTGATTGATAATTTATGACAGGTTAAACAAACATACTAGTTTTTTAAAGGAAGTGGTTGGTTTGCCATTACTAATTTCTGCCCAGAACAGGATAAGTTTGTATAAATCCCACTGTGAATTCAAGTATTGGATTTAATTCTATTCTGAAGTGATTAGGATTTAGATCAAGAAACTTAAGGCTTTTAGGTGGGTTGAATCCTTAGGGCCTATTACAATACAGATAAGTTTTTTACAACTTAGATATCCAGATGCACTTGTGAGACAGTGACAAAAACACTTTTAGGATGCTCTGCTCCAGGCTGGAGTTGAGAATTTTAAAACTGATCAAGTTGGTGTTAAGATTGTTGGAAGCACTTTAGAGGGAACTTTGGAGTCTGTGGGAATAAGGCAAGGAGAAATGGTGTGGGAGTGGGCCAGAGTCAGTTAAGGAACCTAATACGGTTCTGGATCAGAGCAGACTGGACTGCAACATCAACTAGAACCAAAGTAAGCACCGTGCTACGCAAATATATATGAATCTGAGTGGGTAGGATAATTGGCTTTCCTGAGTCTTAAGCCTCTGTATAGGCAACAGGAACTTTGTCACTTGACCAAAAACGTTGTAAAGTGTGTAGGCCTGACCTCAGGTGGTTCAGGAAAGAATAAAGATGTTATTACTTGAAATTAATATTACTACTTTCATTTTTACCTTAACAAGGGAGAAATAATATAGTAGGGACTGTAAAGTGAAGATGTCAAGTAAGTGATTCTTGTGTCTTGGAGTTAAGCTCACAGAGAATATTTTCAAGTAATCCACAGTATCAGATGCTGAGAAACAGTCAAGTAAGAACTTGTTAGGTTTTGACATTGGATAAATTGTTAGCGATCTTGAATAGAGGTAATAAAGCCCAATTTGGAGAAGTTGATTGGGTGTATCCTGTCATGAAAAATGCATCAGTTTAAATAGTTGGTGAGATGAAAAGGAGAACCACATGACATATTGAGGAGGGGGCCAGAGAATAGAAAATGGCATCCTGATGGATCATTGAAGAATCATCCTAGGGTATAGTGTGTCCTAGGGTATAGGCAGGACTGGGGTCAGGGAAACTCCTATGGAAGAAGGTGCCAGTTCTTCACAATGACAAGTTTATCAGTGATGGGACACATAATTGAGCAAGTAAATGTATAGCCTTCCAAGAGTCACGTATATAATGTAGTAATATATACAGTTATGAGTGACCCCCTCTGCCTGACTCATACTCTTCAAGGGCAGGGAGCATGTCTTTTTGATCTCTGTCATCATTTTGTCCAGCTCAGTAGGTTTGTCTGCCACTGAACTGATTATTGGGCGGGCACAGTACAGGTTATTTTTGAAAAAAGCCTAAACTTTGGCTAGGAGATAAGTTCCCATAACCTATTTGAGCCTTATTTCTGCATCTAAAATGAGAAAGTAAATTTGATGTTTTAAGAATGTTTCAGCTCTTAAACTGTGTACTAGTCAAATTGTTATTCTCAGGATGTTGAGATGGTAGATTTGGCTGGAGATGGGTATTGGGATTTTTTTGAAATTCTTTTTATTGTTATTGTAAAGGTTATACTTTATACTGCATTTATTTGTCAAAGATTCTCACATAAAACAGTTACTCTCATTTTAAAATGTTTAGTTAACATAAAAAACAAAAGGAAAAGAAACATTGCTTACAGTCAGACTTTTCACAGACTGTCACCTTCACATTTTGGAATACCTGTCTTCTTCCTGCCCCCCCCCCCCCCCCCCGGTTTTTCCTGTAAAACCATGGAGGCCTTTTAAAAAAATACAAACTAAAAACTATACTTTTTATAGCCTCCATGATTCCAGTATGTTGTGAGTATTTTTCCATATTAGTAAATGTTCTTTTTTATCCTGGGTGGTTCTAGTAATCAGGCGAATTTTGGAAATGCTGGTTGGGGCCAGACTCAATAGCACTAGAGAGGTAAAGGAAGAGGTAGGGAAGGAAAATTCATTTAAATATGGGAGTGAAAGGTGAGTACAGTAACATACTTGGCACACCTCACTGTTTGCACTTCCCAGATGTGTTGGACTGGCACGGAGTTTGCTTTTAGGGTGGTCTTTGGAAGGCAGGTGTTTGGGATTAGGTAGATAAGATTCTTAATTGCCTTGGTGAATACTTTTGTGTAGAATAAACCTGTTTGCCAGTAACATTGGTTCCTTGAAGGTCTTCTCTGCCTAGCAGACTATTCCTCAGAGTTAGGATGTTGCTTGGTTAATTGAGAGAGTCTGCTGAGTAGTGTGAGCCAGCAGTATCTTTTTTAGAATACCATCATACACTCAATTATATTATCTCCGTCTGCTGGCAGGGAGGAACTATTGCCATGACTGGTATAGAAGACCTTCAGGGAAAACTCTTCAGGTAAGAAGAAACCTTGACCCTTGGCAAGTCAGAGGCCAGTGCAGCGGTGTGCACATGAAGATGGGTTTTGGAATTGGAGCCCTATCCTTGTTGAGCTAACTCTTAGAAATTTCTAGAGTGATATATTTTGTTTCTAAAAGGAAAAGCATGCCAAGTTACACTACTTGTAACACATGGTGACTGAGACAGTTTTTGTATTTTTCTGCTTTGAGTCAGCTAATCTATGTGCCAGGCAATGTGGTAAAGCACAGCTCCATAAAGTATGCTTCATTATTTTCATTTTACAGTTGAGAAAGCTGAACTTAGGGAGAGTTTAAATAATGTGCTAGGAAGTGTCAGAAACCAGATTCCAACCAAGGTCTGCCACCAAAGCCCAGTACTCTTAAGCACTGTGCTGGTGTTGCCACTCCTCTCTAAATCTTCTTGGTATGGTGAGTCACCATTGTAAAAACCACAGATTCCTACTTCCTTCCCTCTATCCTTCCATCCATCTTTCCAACAAATATTTATTGAATATGAAATATATGGTAGATGTTGGTGAGCATTATTGTCTGGCTCTTGACATAGGACTGACATAGGTATTTTGAAATATTAAGTGCTAAGAGCATTCATTCATTCATGCTTTTTGCCAGTCTTGCGCATCTGTTATATGCCTTGCTTTATAAGGTATAGCAGTGGACACAAGCAAGGTCTGCCCATAGGAGTTTACGAATCATTGTGGTAACAATAAGAAAAGTAATTTAAAGCGTAAGGGCAGCATCATAATGCAATGACAGATATAAACATAGTAATATGATAAAGATAAGGGGATGCCTTGGGGGTCATTCGTTTGGAAACTGTAATCAGAGATTGTGTGAGGAGGTGACAATAGAGCAAATTTGAGTGAAGGGATGGAACCAGCCAACCACACGTAAACTATCCAGAGAGGGAATAGCAAATACAGAGGTGCAGGCCAAAAGAGTTTAGACCATCTGAAGACCAGGAAGGAAGCTGATATAGTTGAAGCACTGTGAACAAGTAGAATGAGATGAGTGGAGATGGTTGGCGGAGACCAGACCACGTAGAATTCTTGTAGGCAATGGAGTGCCATGATCTGATTGATTTATGTTTTATAAAGATTGCTCTGTGGTAGAATACATTTTGGGTAAGAGACAGAACATTTAGGTAGAAATGGAAGGAAGTCAGGCCAGTTAGGAGACTCATGGTAGTCTGCAGGGAAATTGGTGGTAGTGGTGGCATGGAAAGAAATTGGCTAGATTCCATAATTATTTTGGAAATAGAGGCAGGATTTACTCTTTCACTGATTGGCTATAGGAAATTAGATGAAGGAGTTTTTGACTCCAGCTCAATTGCTGTTGTGCAGAATAAAAATTTATACAGTCTGAATTTCTTGAGTATGTTACTCTAGGTTTGCCATCAAAATTTCTTGAGTAGGTTACTCTCAGGAAAGTAATTTAAGAAAAGGTATTGTATGTATTAGTGCATCAATTTTAAACATACTTCAGAACAAGGAAGGTGACATGAGGGAAGATGCTTGGTGAAAGTGAGTCTTTAGGAAGCATTTTGAAAGGACTTGGCAATTCAGTTTTTGAAAGGTAATCATTTTATAGGTGATTACCAGAATTCTAAAACAGTCAAAAAGGACTTTAGGACTAAACCTCTCTAATTTTCTCAGCTTAAGGATTAGGAAACTGAGTCCCAGAGAGCTAAAGTTGACCATCCCAAGGATATTCTTGGAATAGCCAAAGTCTCCCCGTCAAAAATATTTTTCTGGAGAACACTAGGTTAATATTTAACCAAAAAAAATTTTTTTTAAAGATTTTATTGACTTACTCATGAGAGGCAGAGAGAGAGAGAGAGAGAGAGAGGCGCAGAGACACAGGCAGAGAGAGAAGCAGGCTCCATGCAGGGATCCCAATGTGGGACTTGATCCTGGGACTCCAGGATCACGCCCTGAGCTGAAGGCATATATTCAACTGCTGAGCCACCCAGGCATCCCAATATTTAACCAAAATCAAGTTGATTAAAATAATATGTAATATGATAGTTCTGTATTTTAAAATAGTTTGAAGCTATACCAAAACTTTGGTAGTGATTAAGTAAATTCTTATTTTTCAGATACATTTATTTAGCATACACTAGGCAGCCTTTTCAAGGCTTCCAAAGTTAAATGAGAAAAAGATTCATAAGTAGACTACATATAAATATATTCGGAATTATGAAGTTTTAAAAACTTACTAAGTTTTTAGGTCAGGTTCTACCTCAAATTTTAGAAACTAATTCCGGGAAGATGAAGAAACTTTGAAGATTCTTCAAGTTTATTTGTTGGTAAGATAAATGTAAAGGTCATTGTGAAATGAAAGAGTTATAGTTGGGAAGGGGCACGAGATTTAAAGTTTAAGCATGTACAAAGAGGCTGGTGAAGAGGGGGAATGATTTCCCTTGGTTGAGCTGAAAACTACCCATATAGAGTTGAGTTTTAGCCTCTTCCTTCTTTTCACTTGATGGGAAGTTTAGTTTTGTGGTGTAAACTGGGAAGAAACAGGTCCATTATTTATATTTTTGTGAAGATAAAACTATGACAAGAGAAGGTGTACCAGGTCTGTCCCATAGGCTCGTCATGACTTGATATTGTTTGCAGCTTGGGATGGCCTTTGTGACTTTGAAGAACCATAGAGGATCAAGAACCATGTTCTCAGTCTTTATTGCATTGTAAAGTCTTATCTTGGTACATAGTGGGCACCACTCCCTGCAGGAGTCCTAGTGGTCTGGTCTGCCAGCCTATGCAGTGGGTGCATGGTAGACACTCAAGTAGTGCTCTACTGGAATCTTGTGAAGCTGCTACCACCTGAAGACGGTCAGTTGAAAACACACTTTTGTGCATTGTATTAAAATAATTGCCACCTGGCTGCATTTTCCTGCCATAGTGATTCAAAGGTCTGTAAAAGATCAGCTGATGATCTTTCATGAGAAAACTCAAGTTTTGTGAAAAGCTGGCATGATTTATTTAACTGCCTTCAGATAGAAGTCCTTAATTTTGTGATTTATCGCTTATTTTACTGTTCTGCTCTTATTTGGAAATGATACTGTGTTTGTTTTGTACTAAACCAAGCCAATATGTTTGAATTTTGCTAGGACTTCATAGTTCCCCAACTATGGACTTTCCTTTGAGTATCTTTTGGTTTGGTATCTTTTAGGCCTCTCCCAGTGTGTGTCCTGTACAGTCTGTTCCCACAACAGTTTTTAAGGAGATACTGCTTGGCTGTACTGCAGCAACTCCACCTAGTAAGGACCCAAGGCAGCAGAGCACTCCCCAGGCTGCCAACTCTCCACCTAACCTTGGAGCAAAAATTCCTCAAGGGTAAGTAAAGCCGTGTATTAAAGATGTTTAATCATAATAAGAGGAAAAATGATTTTAGCTATGGTTCGTGTCTGAGCTTAACATTGCTTAGGTGGCAAGGCTTAGCCTGTATTTGGTGTTTCATTGAGAATTAGTATAGCTACCTTTGGTGTAATCTGCCATTTATCACATCTCAGGTTGTCCAGGGAGGTTTTTCAGTAGAGTTTTCAAATTGGTCAGGTGCCTTCAGCGGTAAAAAGGGTGATAGGCATACAGAGCAACGTGAAAATGTTTTTTAAAAATTGAAGATGTGAGGAAAGAGCACCTTTCTTGACTTGATAAAATGAGAATAGTCCATTGAAATACTGTAGACAGTTGTAGAATAAATGTCTACTTTAATGAAAAGGGAGCAGATTGGTTGTATGTAAAAGACTGAGGTCAATGAGATTGTGGAGAACAGGGAGACATGGTGATAGTGGTTCTTATCAGTCCAGATCTCAAATATAGATGAGAAACATGGTGGTAGAGAAAATAAATCCTAGATGAGGATGTGGTAGCTATAGGAAGACTAGTTTAGTAATTTATAGGTGAAGAAAATGAATAAAAAATGTGACATGTAACCAGAGACTTGAGGTGGCTACAAGGTTACAGAGACCAGAGTTTTAAGGGAAGACTCTCTCAGGAGGAGTGGTGGCCTGGGCAGGCAGTTGATAAAGGCTTAAGATGCAGGTCAGAGAGACAATGATATTAGAAAGGTGGGTTTTAAAGAGCACTTCAGTGAGCGTGGGAAGAGTAGCTGGGCACATTGCTTCACTGGGAGGAAAGTGGGCTGTCTGGGATGGGCACAAAAGCAGTCAGACGGAAGGAGCAATCTTCAGAGTAGAAAGAAGGAACAGTAAGAAGTACAGTGTTACCAAATCTAATGTGAGTACTTTTATTTTTTAATTATATACACACACACACACACACACACATTACATATATATAGTTGGGAGTTCAATTTGCCAACATATAGGATAACACCCAGTGCTCGTCCCATCAAGTGCCCTCCTTAGTGCCCATCACCCAGTCACCCCAACCCCCCCCACCTGCCCTTCCACTACCCCCTGTTCATTTCTCAGAGTTAGGAGTCTCTCATGTTCTGTCACCCTCACAGATATTTCCCACTCCTTTCTCCTTTATTCCCTTTCACTGTTTTTTATATTCCCCAAATGAATGAGACCATATAATGTTTATCCTTCTCCGATTGACTTGCTTAATGTGAATACTTTAAATGAAGAAATTCTTGGGGCACCTGGCTGGCTCAGTCGATGGGGCATGAGACTCTTGATCTCAGGGTCATTAGTTCAAGCCCCAAGTTGGGCATAGGGCTTACTTAAAAATATATATATTTTTTCTTTTCAAGGATGAAATCCTTTATTAGAGGCATGGGAGAAAAAGTTTAATAGGAAGAAAGAACTTTGTATTTTTCTGGGGAAAAAAACTTCAGTTTGAATTTCAGAGAAACAAAAATTCTTTAAGGATGCCCCCTATTAAGGTAGGGGATGGAAGGAATATCAGATTATTCTATGAACAAGCAAGTGATTAGTTGGCTTTTCAGGTGCTTTGGGTCCTGATCCACTAAGCAAACAAGAATGAAATTATCCAGTGTCGGGGCTGGTTACATGTTGTTTGTAGCCGGACCAGGTTTTATGCTGCTGGTGGTTTTGGCTCCATATTATACTCAGTTTGTTTTGAGGGAAAGCTAAGGTTCATTATGCTGTAATATATAGAACTAACTTGAAGTAGTTCAGGATTTATAAGAACATATAAATAGGATTTATGGTTATATTTTTCTGAGTGTTGCAGACATTTTTACAGAGCCATTACTGATTATTTTTAACTCCAGCTCACAGGAACCTGTCCTGTGTTCTCTCATAACATAAGCAATTTATTCCCCCTTCATACTGGTTGCCTTAGGATACCAAGCAATTGTTCTTGAAAGATAGAGGAGAGGTAAAAGAGACCTAGATGCTAGTTTTCCATTTTCCATACTCTGTTTCAGATGTCATAAACAGATTTTACCAGAAGAACTTTCTTCCTGTCTGAATACAAAGTCTGAAATACTGAGAACAAAACCAGATGTCTGCAAAGTAGGATTGCTGTCTTCAAAGTTCCCTCAGATTGGAACAGGAGACTTAAAACCCCTTAGTGAACCAAAAGATAACTGTACCCAGCTGAAGACTAACACTGATAAGGAAAACAAATTGGAATCTGTTTCTCAGTCATCAACTGGCCTTCCTAAGGAGGGCGTACCTACAAAGCCTTCTACAGCAGAATTGGAAATTGCCTGTACACCTGAACTACAGAAACACCTAGAGTATGCACCTTCGACATCTGATGTCCTTTCAAATAAGCCAGAAGAGAAAGTTGGTGTTGTTAGTAACAGCCCTAATAGTTGTGTGGAAAAGAAGATAGAACCTTCAACTTTAGGATGCCGGTCACAGACTTTGAAGGAATCTTCAGTAAAAATAGATAATGAAAGCTGTTGTACAAGAAGCAACAATAAAATCCAGAATGGTGAGTGTTTCTACATGTTTTTATTGGTAGAAGGTAAGAGATGGTAGTGGGTATGTATATATTTTCTTACCTTATGAGAAAATAATATGAAAATGACTATAGAAAAAGTTCATACAGGGGCAGCTGAGTGGCTCAGGTGGTTAAGTGGCCAACTCTTGATTTTGGCTCAGGTCATGATCTTGGGGTCTGGGGATTGAGTCCCATCTTGGGCCTCTTGCTCAGTGGGGAATCTACTTGAGGATTCTCTCTCTCCCTCTGCCTCTCTCCTGGCTTGTGCACACTCACTTGCTCTCTCTCATAAGTAAATAAATCTTTAAAAACAACAACAAAAAAGAAAGTTCATACAATTGGAAAAGTTCAAAGGAGAAAGTAACATCCCTTATCTCCTCAGAAATGATTACTGTTAATATCTTGGTGTACCTGGTTCCATGTATATTAGAATTACAGATAAACTATTACACAAATGGATTTATACCAATAATTTTACCCAGTGAATTAGTGTAGGTGTCTATCAACATTTTCAAGGCTTCAAGGAAAAAAAAAATAAAGACTTCAAGGATTCCATTATATATGTGTTTATCAGATGACTTAGTTGGTTCCTATTAGTTGGGTAACTAGGTGGTTCCCAGTTTCTGGCTGTAAGAAATAATTTTGAAACAAAATCTAAAGTTATCTGACAATTATTTTATCTTCAGCTTATCACTGATTTTTGTGTGATAGAAGACCTGGAGGGGCATCTGGGTGGACCAGTCGGTTAAGCTTCCGACTCTTGATTTTGGCTCAGGTCATGGTCTCAGGGTCGTGAAATTGAGTTCTGTGTCAGGATCCACGCTGGGCTTGAAGCTTGTCTTGGATTCTCCCTCTCCCTCTGCCCTTCCCACCCCCCTTCATTCCCTCCCCATCTAAAAAAAAAAAGAAGAAGAAGAAAAGACGGAAGAGATGAAAGAGATGATTGCAGGTAATTCAGATCTGCAGATTATTTTTTTGTCAGAGAATTATGCCACCACCTCTAGAAAAGGGGCTTTTGGTTAAAGATTTTAAAGACAGTGCTGAAACACCAGGTACAGTTTCTTTGTCTAAGGGGAAGTCCTACTGCAGCCACAATTTAAAAAATATGTACAAGCATGCCTCATTTTTATTGTGCTTTGCCTTATTGCACTTTGTAGAAACTGCATTTTTTGCAGATTGAAGGTTTGTGGCAACTCTGTCCAGCAAGTCTGCTGGCATCATTTTCCCAAGAATATTTGCTCACTTGTAGTCTCTATGTCACATGTTAGTAATCCTTGTGATATTTCAGACTTTTTTATTCTCATTACATTTGTTCTGGTGATTTGTGATCTGTGATCTTTATGTTACTGTTGTAACTATTTTGGGGCATGACAAACTGCCCGCATAAAAGATGTCAAACAGCTGATAAATGTTGCATTTGTTCTGACTACTGCTTCACCAACCAATCATTTCCTCATCTCCCTCTTCTCAAGCCTGCCTGTTCTCTGAAACGCAAAAATACTGAAGTTAGGCCAATTAACCCCACAATGGCTTCTAAGTGTTCAAGTGAAAGGAGTTTCAGGTCTCTCACTTTAAATCAAAAGTTAGAAATGATTAGGCTTAGTGAGGAAGATGTGTCGAAAGCCAAGATAAAGCTAGGCCTATCATGCCAGTTAGCCAAGCTGTGAATCCAAAATAAAAATTCTGGAAGGAAATTAAGAGTACTCATGAACACATGAATAATAAGAAAGTAGGACAGCTTTATTGCTGATTTGGAGACAATTTAGTGGTCTGGATGGAAGAGCAACCAGCTCCAACATTCTCTTAAGCCAGAGCCTAGTCTAGAGCAAGGCCATTACTCTCATCAGTTCTATGAAGGCTAAGAGGTGTGAGGAAACTGCAGAAAAGTTTGAAGCTATCAGAGGTTGGTTCCTGAGGTTAAGGAATGAAGCACCTCCATAACATAAATGTACAAGATGAAGCAGCAAGTGCGAATGTAGAAGCTGCAGCAAGTTAGCCAAAAGATCTAGCTAAGATAATTAATCAAGGTGCCTATACTACATGGCAGATTGGAAGAAGATGCCATCTATGACTTTCATGGCTAGGGAGGAGAAGTCAATACCTGGTTTCAAAGAACAGGCTGACTCTTGTTGGGGGCTATTGTAGCTGGTGACTTTAAGGTGAAGCCAGTGCTCATTTACTATTCTGAAAATCCTAAGGCCTTTAGGTTATGCTAAATCCACTCTGTGTCTATAAATGGAACAACAAAGCCTGTATGACAGCACATTTGTTTATAACATGGTTTACTGAATATTTTAAGCCCACTGTTGAGGCCTACTGCTCAGAAAAAATAAATTCCTTTCAAAATATCACTGCTCACTGACAATGCACCTCTCCACCCAAGAGCTCTGATAGAGATGGACAAGGTTAATGTTTTCATCCCGGCTAATGCAGCAGCAGTTCTGCAGCCCATGGATCAAGGAATAATTTTGACTCTCAAATCTTATTTAAGAAATACATTTTTTAAGGCTATAGCTACCATAGATAATGTTTTTCTGATGGATCCCAGACTGTTACACACTTAGTAGACTGCAGTATAGTGTCAATATAACTTTTATATGCATTGGGAAACCAAAAAATTCATTTGATTAGCTCTACTGTGATACTTGCTTTTTTGAGGTGGTCTGGAACCACACCTGCTGTGTATGCTCAAGGTATGTCTGTTCCCTTTATAGAAAACAGTACCCTTTATTTCATACTGCTTCTGTCAAGTTTGAGGATTCATTCCACTGCTGGTAGTTAACAGGAGTTCTCCTATTAGAATTAGTAGAACTAAATGGCTTCGGTATGTCAAAAGGTTCAGAGCTATTACAATTTAAAAATACCTTTTGATAATTGTCAGTTGTGTGGGAAAATTAGCATGGATTTTGATAGCTTTTAAAAAATTTAATAAAAAACACTATGCACTTGAATAAGTAGGAAACGAATGTATCCACAATTTAGCTTTTACTTTAGACCTCTGAAGCTAGAGAGAAAATGGATGGATTTGACTCTTGGTCTTTGGATGCAGAGTTGGAGGAGTAGGAAAACCTGTCTTTGCCTAGTGATACTTCTAGCCCAGCTTCTATGTTCTTGGGCTTAAGTTGATAGGGCTGTTAATTTGCATAAAATTAATTGCATAAGATTATACTGTTCCTCTTGAATTATATAACTTCCCCCAAAAAGTGAATATTCATAACCATATTTCTGTTCTATTTTTTGTTCTTTTTGAGTCATCAGGCCTTACATTCAGCTAGTTTTTGAGGCAAATTACTTTAATATTATGTAAAGAAATAGTAAAAATTCTACATTGATAAGCACATTTAGACATATAAATGAGTTACGGAGTCTCTCTTTGTCTTACTTAATATGTTGTACAACTAGGCACCAGTTAAAGTGATTTTTAGAGAAATTAAAAACCTAGTTAAATATCCTGGTGCATGTTATTTACGAGGAGCACAGTAAATAGCATGGTTGAGGAGTGAGTGTGATCAGGGTTTCTGTACTGTGTCCACTGGTACTGCTTGTAGGTATGGAAAGATTCGACTGGAAGCTATTCTGTCCCCTGTGACCTTCTCCAGTTAGGGGCTAGAAAACAAAAGCAGACTAAGTCGAAGAACAGCTGCGTTTTTTTTCTTTTAGGTAGATGTGTGACTCCTCAGAAGTTGGCATTGCTTTTTTTCCCTTGGCTGTACTCCAAGTTGTGAGAATCATTGATTGGGTCAACTATTGCTCTCCTCACTGAAGAGCTAGCTTTAGGTAGTTCAGCTTGCTTATTTCTACCTATTTCCTCTTGTATGTGAGAGCAGAACAGATAACCTTTGGACTGTTTGCCCATGGTCGGTGAAAACCTGGTCCAACCTAAAGGGTGATGTTTTTTCAGTATTAAGTGATTAAAATTCCATTCTTGAACTACTGAACTATTCATCCCCTACTGCTTAGGGGATCATGGCCTGACAGCATCCATTTAGCATTTTACAGTATGCTCTGTTTTAAAAGAGAAGATTAGAATACTGATGAGGTCATTATTAAAGATGCTTATTTTATTTAAAGCCTTCTTTGCTTTGATATCTTCCACTTTCCTCCACAACTACTAACCTCTCCTAGCTGTCTCTCAACTGGTTCCCCAAAAGTTATTTCCTGGGTTTTGTTTTTGTTTGTTTGCCAAAGAATATACATCCTTGCACCCTTGGACCCCGAGGGAAGGTCTTTTCCCTTGGCTTCATATGAAATACTCCTCAAGTCTCTTAAAGAGTTATAAATAGATTCATTTCTGTGTTGAGTTGATGTAACTGATGCAAAGATCACTCTTTCCTGTCAAATCTTTACTTTATCCACCTTTTCTTTAGAAACTGTGTTAACATTTAAGTTCTCCTGCCCATTACAAGTTAAAAGTTAAAACATGTGTTTACTTAAAATCATAATCCTGTCTTTGGTCACTGCTTTTCATCCTGAATGGAACATATGTGTGAAGTAAATTAAAGAAATATCCTCTTGGAAGCATTTAGGAGATAGCACTTATTTCATAGACCCAGGGGCCTGTGTGGGAAAGCTCTTTGGTTGTTACTATATTTAGAATGGTTAGCTTTTGCAGAGTACTCTAGAAAACACACTTAAACCAGCCTTTGAAAAGTAGCAGAATTAACTTGCACACAGATCTTTGTTGAGGTAAACCTATCTCTGTACATTGCTAATGTTGCAGTGAGTTTAAGTATCTGATTTGGAAGTGTCTTCCTGGAATATTTTTATCAAGGGCTGTGAATGGAAGTGTACACTACTTTGGATTTATGAGTCAAGTTGGTGAATTTAGAGGTTTAAGTTGCCTTGCCAAATGGATTTACCAAATGAGAATTATTTTATAAAGTGAGTAAAGCTTTCCAATTATTCTGATAGTTGTTTTATGTTAAGCCAGCTTTAGAAATTACAGTTGAACCAGTATTTAAGGCAGTATTTAAGGAGTTCTCCTTTTGGGAAAACTGGTCTTTGGAATAGAATTCAGTCAAATGTTGAGGTGACTTAAAAATTTCAGGTCTCATTTCTTTAATCTTCTGCTTTCCCAGCCCCCTCTCGGAAGTCGGTTTTGACAGACCCAGCCAAACTCAAGAAGCTGCAGCAGAGTGGTGAGGCCTTTGTACAAGATGACTCCTGTGTGAACATTGTTGCACAGCTGCCCAAGTGCCGGGAGTGTCGCTTGGACAGCCTCCGCAAAGATAAGGAGCAGCAGAAAGACTCACCTGTGTTTTGTCGTTTCTTTCATTTCAGGAGGTAAGGCATTTGGGGAAAAAGCTCAGATTATCTGAGTTAATCTGGGCCCTATAGCATACTTATTTTCCCTTCCCTCTTCTGTCAGCAGTAAATCTAGAACTAGAGAGTGAAGGCTGTTTAATCTCTAGCTTTGAGCATCTAGATCTTATCCCATGTTATTTCCTTCTTGGTCTCCCTTTCAATTTGTTTTTAAAGTAGAGGAGCCTACACATACAACTTCTCTTCCTAAAACTAACAAACATTATAGAAAAATGCTGAAATTTCTAAAAACCACTCCAAATAACCACTGTTAACTTTGCAGTGCATTTTAGTGTTTGTATGGTCATAAAATACATTCAAGCATACCTACTTGGGTATATTGTATATACTGCTTTGAATCTTGCCTTCCCAGTACATAGTAGGACCTACTGGGTCATGTTACCTTTTTTCTGCAAAAACTTTGAATAACTAAGCAGGAACTCCTCTAACAGGATTTAAAAATTCACTTAACCAATTTCTTTTATTGGTGTTGAGATTATTTTGTGGTTTTTTTTTTTGTCACTAAAAATAATACGGAAATGATCATCTCCTTGTCCCTATCTCTCCTTTATTTTGGAAGGATTACTGGAAGTGGCATTACTGGGTCAAAAGCAGTGTGTGTTTAAGGCTTTGATACATATGTTCTGCCAAATTGCACTAGAGGAAGGTTGCACCTGTGTCCAGGCCCTCTGGCAGTGTTTAAGCATTCCTATCTCTGTGTACTTTTGCTGACAGGAAGAGACCTATCTTCTTAAAAAATCTTTTCTAATTTTATAGGCAAATACTTTCATTTTTATGTTGTATTTTTTAAGTCAAATTAATTTTCTCTAAATTCTTTTATTCTTAGTGAAGAAAAAGGCCTTAATATTGTCGTCATGTTTTTGATAAATGAGCAATGTTGTTTAGGTTAACTTTTTAGGTATGATTCACTTTCTCAGAAATGTAGATACTTTCAGGCTCAACTGGTTCTAATCATGAACAGAAGTGCTGACTTGAATATCTTCCTATTTATCTCCTCCCCTTTAATTTTATCAAGATTAAAGAGTCCTGAAGAACTGAATTAGGGACACTTGGGTGGCTCAGTAGTTTAGCACCTGCCTTCGGCTCAGGGCGTGATCCTGGATCCCAGGACTGAGTCCCACATCAGGGCTCCCTGCATGGAGCCTGCTTCTCCCTCTGCTTATGTCTCCCTCTCTCTCTGTGTGTCTCATGAATAAATAAATTTAAAAAAAATCTAAATAAAAAAACTGAATTAAATGCACAGGTATTTTAGGTCATTGATTATCTCTGTTTTAGTAACTTTCAGAATCAGGCTTATTTTAATGCACTCTAGAGGTTTTTAGATGGTAGTTTGACCCATTTGTTCTGAATAAATTGCAAAAGCACTGTGATGAAGTATGTGTCTACTATTTAGAACTGTGATAACTGCTAGAATGTTAGCATACTTGTATATTAACATATTGTCAATACCACATGGCCCAGAATAAGTTCTTAATAAGGATTAGTTCTATTTCCTCTCTGGAGAATTTTTTACACAGGTAAGTGTGTTAAGATGCATGTGTTTTGGGTTCTGACATAAGTTGAAGAGAGCACAAAATGTTATGCTTTTTACAGATCTATACATTCCTATTACACACTTGATTTCATTATGGTTCCTCTGCTCTGAAGGTGTAAGTGGACTGGAGGGGAGAGATTGTTTGATTTCGGTGTAAGTTGCAGAGGTGTAAGGAAGAGATACTTAATTTTTTCTTTTAAATATTAACTGGGGCTTTTTTTAAACCACTGTTTTGTAACTATCTTGAAATCACTGATTTTATGACAGCTGTTTTCTCATTTTTTATCTCATTGAAAAGGAAAATGCCTTTGCTTAATGTTGCAAAGTAGAAACCAGTCTTGTGGAAACTAGAACAAATTCACTACTTTGGTAAAAAGAGTGTCATAATTTAAGGAATAGAGCCCTCCCCCCACCGCCCCGGTGTTTAGCGAGAGGATTAAGGCTGTCCTTAGCCTTCTCCTTGAGTTTGTTTCTCATTAAATTCTGTAGAGGGGCACCTGGGTGGCTCAGTTGGTTAAGCATCTGCCTTTGGCTCAGGTCATGATCCCAAGGTCCTGGAATTGAGCCCCACATTGGGCTCTGTGCTCAGTGAGGAGCCTGCTTCTCTTCCTGCCTGTTGCTCCCCCTGCTTGTTCTCTCTCTCAAATAGTAAATAAATTCTTTAAAAAAAAATTGTCCTGTAGATAAAATAGGAAGATTTGGGTCTCAGTACTAAAGTCCAGTTGCCAAATCCTATTTGCCATCTTCCCCTTTGAAATAGCTTTCAAATTCATTTTTTAGTATTAAGACTATCTCTAATTTGGGGTATCAGTTAAAAATTTGCATCTCTCCTTTTGGCTGCTTGAAATAAATTTGCATGTGTTAAGCAACTCCAGTGTCCTTCCAGTTCATTCTACACTCTTCTGGACAAATGGTTTTTTTTAAAAAAAATACAACTTTAGGTGTGTCTCATGGGCTCAAAGAATTGGTAGCGGGCAGTGACCAATGGAGAAATCAAGATCCCTGTATTTTTCTTTCTTTTGTATGAAATACTGTTTCCTTGACATGCTTTCTCTTAGCGAATGTCTGCTTTTTTTTGTAAGGCCAGTCATAATCACTGCCTCTACCATGAAGTCTTAATATTAGCCCCACAATGCTCATAGTCAGTACTTCCTCCTCTAAAATTTAATGATTGTTATGAGATCTGTCATATCCTATTTCACTGTGTATTTTATGCCTACTTCTGTATCTTCAACTAGATTGACATATAATGGCATTTTGAATGAATTTTTTAAAAATTCGAAACTAATACATAGCTTAGGGAAAACAGATGCCAAAGATATTGAAAGACAATCCTGAGAAGTATTCTGCCTTTTTGCTCCACCTTAAGTAGTTAGGTCTGTCTTAACACTGCCTCTCATTCCAGAAGCTTACAGAGTAATTTGCAGCTAGGATTCATATGGAACCTCAGTTCTCATGGATCTACATGGTCATGGCTTCAGTGACTGTTTAGGGTTAGCCTTCCTTTGCTGAGCATTATTATAGAAGGAGTGGTTGTATTCAAATCTGATCAGCTTACCTTACACCTTCTGTTCATTTTCCATTTTCTTCTGTGATTGTCCTTGCTGTTAAGTCTCAAGTCTGAAAGGTTCAACAGCTGCCCCCGGAGGCAGTATGATTAGATCTTGGTTGAAGTGTAAAGCACCTCTCCCTGCCTCCCTCCCCATATCTTCTAAGGGGAAATTTGGAAATTTTTAAATTTTTTAAATCTTCCCGCTGACATTGCCAAGTAACAATTGGCTGTAATTAGCCATGGAGATTATAGAAAACTAGGAAGGAATTTGTTGATTTAAATAGTAACTATAAGATATAAATCAATTTTTTTGTGTGTGTGACACTTTTCTTCCACTTCCTCTAGGTTACAGTTCAACAAACATGGTGTGTTGCGGGTAGAAGGCTTCTTAACACCAAACAAGTATGACAGTGAAGCAATTGGCTTATGGTTGCCTTTAACTAAAAACGTTGTGGGGACCGATTTGGACACTGCAAAGTATATCCTCGCCAACATTGGAGACCACTTCTGTCAAATGGTGATTTCTGAAAAGGAAGCTATGTCAACTATTGAGCCACACAGTAAGAGCATCTCTTAGGGGGTAGGATTTTTGAGTCCAACTTGATTTTGTTCCTAAATGACACCTAAGTTCTAACTGCATGGGTTTCATTTTCACCCAGAAGTTTGGAAGACTTTGGTATAATGAGGTTGTGTTTTCCGTTTTAATTTTTTTTTTTTTTTATTTATGATAGTCACACACACAGAGAGAGAGAGAGGCAGAGACCCAGGCAGAGGGAGAAGCAGGCTCCATGCACCGGGAGCCCGATATGGGACCCGATCCCGGGTCTCCAGGATCGCGCCCTGAGCCAAAGGCAGACGCCAAACCGCTGCGCCACCCAGGGATCCCTGTTTTCCGTTTTATAACTGCCTGTTGGTTTCATCAGAGTCAGTCACCTGTCTGTGGGGTTTATTTTGGGACAAGTACTAAAGGAGTGGAAAGGTGAAGATGAGGTGGTGGTAGAATTTGGGCAGCCTTTATCAGCAGCCTTTGGGCTCATCAAAAGGGGCTGAGGCCTCAGGTTGGGTTATTTTAAGACAAAGGTTCCTAATCAGGAACGCATTTCAAGAAAATAAGAATGGGCAGGCTGTGTTCTAGACCAACTGAATCAAGAATCTGGAGGGCTGGGTCCCAGGTATGAGAATGAGAATACACTCAGATGAAAAGGATTGTTAGAGTCAGGGTTTTCACAGGATACTTGGAGGTTCCAGCTGGGTGAGTGCCAGTATCTTCTACTCTCTGAGAGTACTCTCACACTGATGCGGCGGCATAGTAAACCACAGGGATCAGTGTGGGTGACACACGAGAACTAGACCTCCCTCATAACACCTCAAGATATGATGTCCGGGAGAACAGCATACCTCTTTTTATTTCTGTGTAGAAGTGAAATGCCAGCCAGAGGCACCCAGGAGCAGCTATTTTTAAAGTCTCATGCTTCCTTCCATCATTGTATCTTTCCCAAATGGTTGAAACTTAAAAGTAAAGCCTTTCATTTCTCCAGATATCTTTTCAGACTTTGCATAACTAAATATGTTTCAATTAGCATGCACACATAACCAGTCTTAAGAATTTTTGTTGTAGGTACCAGAAACTAATTGAAACTAGCTTCACAAAGGTAATTTTTTGGATAAGTATGAATAGTGTTAAATTTCCAAGTCCAAGGAATGGAAACTGAGGCATTCTGAGGAGCAGGAATTCAGAGCTAGAAAGAGAATGGGATCGTGAACTCTGGGGCACAGCCAAAGTTGTACTAAGTAGAGAGTAGCTGTAGAATCACTCCATTCTGTTGGAGTAGCAGAGACTTTTACAAATCAAGGATCTTACTGAAGTTGGTTTTTTTTTATAGTCTTCTATTTAGGATGAGTGACACTGGTTTCTATATTTAGTAGAGATAAGGAGTTTCCTAATTTTATACATTTAAGTAAAAGTAGTGAAGTTAAAGAAAAATTCTTAAGTAACTCATCTAGTAAGTAGGTATATAAATGACTGGAATATAGAAACACTTCTTTGGAATATATTAGTAGTTTCATCCTGAATTAGCAGGACTTGTTACAAGCAACTGATGTTTGTTTCTTGGCTCAAGGGAAGTCACCTGAATAGCATACAGAAAAAAGTACAGATAGTTGTCTTTTAAGAGTATAACTAAGGGGGATCCCTGGGTGGCTCAGCAGTTTGGTGCCTGCCTTCAGCCCAGGGCGTGATCCTGGAGTCCTGGGATCGAGTCCCACATCGGGCTTCCTGCATGGGGCCTGCTTCTCCCTCTGCCTGTGTCTCTGCCTCTCTCTCTCTGTGTGTCTCTCATGAATAAATAAAATCTTAAAAAAAAAAAAAGAGTATAACTAAGAAACTCTGTCCTTGAAGATTTAAATAGGATTAACCTTTCCTCCTTGCCTTTTTTATTCTGTTCTTCTCTCTCCTGTGACAAGCTGGTCAGTTGAAGAGAGGAACTCACTGTGAGTGATATTGACAAATGCCACCATAAGGTGTTTCTAGAGAGGTTACCCTCTGATCCTGAGATTAGGAATCAGGTATCAATCTTTATATGTTTATTCCTGTCTTTTCAATGACAAATTATCATTAGATGGGTGGCTAAAAGATCTAAGAATAGTCTCAAATAGTCCAAGGGACCAAGGAGAAGTTCATAAAACTTCATTTGCAAAATGCCTAAAGCTCTCTGTATTATGTACTGAGCTATTACATTACAGTGAAATGGCAGTTCACTTAGCAGTTGGATTAATTTGGTAAAAAACTGAAGTTGATCATTTGTATTTTGGTCAGTTGGAAGAAGGAGTGAAGAAACCACAGACTGGATTAAGAAAAAAGATATTTTCCATAAAACAAGAATGTGACAGTATTGATCCAGTCTTGTTCAGGGGAGAGAGACAGAAAAGAAATTTCTGATTAACATTGAGCTTTTCTGTGACCCAAGAAAATGTCACATACTTTGCCACATACTCCTTGAAACTTTCTTATAACCTGATTTGGCACTCCTCCATACTTGGGGGAAGGGTATGATGTCCTGCCCAGTCCTGGAAGACCCCTCCAACTAGTTTTCAGGGCTTGGCCACTGCCACAGAAGACACTAGTTTGTAGAATCTTGGGGTATGCTTCAACCGGTTGGTTATTTGGTTAGTGTGAGTCCTGGATGCCTGCGTCACTACTGACACTAAAAAAATCAAGTTTCTGACTCTGGCCCATGAAAGAACCAGCTGTACTATTAAGTTAATACGCTGCTCCCTCCAGGTTCCCTAACCCCTTGGAGTTTTTCATAGGCTGTGTGAGTAGATTCAGGGCCTGTGTGACTAACGTATCAATCTATATTGACTTTGTATATCTGAGTAATTTTTTTTCTTTTGGAGAAATCATGTTCCACACTGTCTTTAGATTCTGAAAGGGGCTCATGATCCAAAAGGTGAAAGAACTACTGCTGTATAATACCTGTGTCTAAACTACAACTCCTGTAATCACTGCTGCTTTTTTTCATTGATTTACTCAGCAGTACTTAGTACGTACCAGCACTATGCAGAGTGGGTAGGGGACAAGGTACAGCCCGAGCAGGGATGCTGCTTGTACAGAGTTTAATCTCCTGGGGAGTGGTAGAACCACACCTGACAGCATACAGTGTGAAGAAGCCCGAGTCCAAAGTACAAATACAAGTTGATGAGAGTGCTGAAGGAATCCAGGAAAGCTTCATGATGGAGGGTGAAGGGGTTGGGGGAACACTTGAGATGGTCTTTAAAGGCTAACCAGAGTTGATGGGAACTCCAATAAGAGGGGGGAAATGATATCAGTTTCCCTGCCCTTTCATACTTTATTTCAGAAAACCTCTCTTCCCCAAGACTAAGTGATTTATTGATTTTTGTAGGACAGGTTGCTTGGAAGCGAGCTGTCAAAGGTGTTCGGGAAATGTGTGATGTATGTGACACCACCATCTTCAACCTGCACTGGGTGTGCCCTAGGTGTGGGTTTGGAGTTTGTGTGGATTGCTACCGGATGAAGAGGAAGAATTGCCAACAAGGTAAGAACTTGATTCTCTTCCAAGCCCCCCTTACAAACTTAAGCCTTTATTGATTTGTGGTTGATGGATTTCTTAAGCATGGGGCCAGGGTCTATGAGGAGCAGTTACTATAAATTGTTTATTTGTAGGTGCTGCCTACAAGACTTTCTCATGGCTAAGATGTGTGAAGAGTCAGATACATGAGCCAGAGAACCTAATGCCTACACAGATCATTCCTGGGAAAGGTATTTCATGTGATGCAATTATTTTCTTTCCCCTTGTTTTGGTTAGCTGATAGGGGCTGGTGGTTTAATTTTACTTTATATAGTGTAATTACTTTCTAACTTAATATGTACCATAAATTGTCCATAGATGTATTAAATAATACCCCCAAAACTTTTTAATTAAGATCTTATTAAAACTTTTGTGGAAGGAAGGAAAATAATGCATTGCAGAAGAAGGCATACCTAGGATGAAAAAAAGAGATCCAAAGCACCATGTTGCTTAAAAAAAAAAAAAAAAAAAAAAAAAAAAAAAGTAATCCTGTTGGAAATACCAGTTTCTACTTTGTAATGTTGAGGTTGAAAGTACCTAATACTCTTGTTAAGATGCTTGTTTCTGCCCTTTTTCTTTTTTTTAGCCCTCTATGATGTTGGAGACATTGTTCATTCTGTGAGAGTAAAATGGGGAATAAAAGCAAATTGTCCCTGTTCTAACAGGCAATTCAAACTCTTTTCAAAGCCAGCCTCAAAGGAAGATGTAAAACAGGTATTACTATTTATGCTAGATTCACCATCTTTGAGATTATTGTCTGTCTTTTCAAATAACCCAAGGATTTCTGTAGTATATTTGAAAGGAACATGGAGACATGGTCAGTGGAAAGAGACAACTCCTACATTTCAGGTAACACTTCATGGACCTATTCTCACTTTTCACATTTTTGTGGACCTCATCTGTAGTCTCTTTATAGTAGATTTTAATTTTTGTTCCTTGAAAAAGCAAAAACATCTTCTATTGTAGTTTACATAATGAGTTGCTGTTGAGTTTTATGTGGGCTTAAAAAAAAACTTTTCATGTTTTACAGAGTTAAGACAATCTTTTAAAATTATGAGTGTAGGGATGTCTGGGTGGTTCAGCGGTTGGGCAGCTGCCTTCAGCTCAGGTCGTGATCCCAGGATCTGGGATCGAGTCCCACATCGGGCTCCTGTGAGGGGCCTGCTTCTCCTTCTGCCTATGTCTCTGCCTCTCTCTCTCTCTGTCTCTCATGAATAAATAAATCTTTTAAAAAATAAAATTACCGAGTGTATATTACCTATGTAATATATATTTGAAGAGCTAAAGGAAAGAATATTGAAATGAACCTTTATATACCCATCACTCACCATAAAAAATATACATTTCCATGGTGCCTCTTCCCTGGTAGCATCCCCTTCACCTCCACCATCACATCTATTCCGCACTCCCTGCTTCCCCTTCACCCCAGTATATTCTTCTCCCACATTGTATTTGATAATCAGAATTTCACATTTTCATAAAGCTGTGATGTCAAACAGTAGAAGTGTGCTCTTTAGATTCAGAACTGAATTTGAATTCTTTTTCCGCCACTTTCTAGTTGCATAGCATTGGTTCATATCAGCTGATTCACATATGCTTCCACTTTCTCATCAATAACAGAGCAGTTGAGGCTCCTGGGTGGCTCAGTCTTAAGCATCTGACTCTTGATCTCAGCTCGGTGTTTCAGGGTTGTGGGTTCTAGCCATACATTGGACTCTATGCTAGGTGTGGAGCCTACTTTAAAAAACATAAATAGGGCATCCTGGGTGGCTCAGCAGTTAAGCACCTGCTTTCAGCCCAGAGTGTGATCCCGGAGTCTCAGGATCGAGTCCCGCATCAGGCTCCCTGCATGGAGCCCTCTTCTCCCTCTGCCTATGTCTCTGTCTCTCTCTGTGTCTCTCACGAATAAATAAATAAATAGAAGCTTAAATAATAAAAATAAAAAACATAAATAACAGGAATAATAAATAATACTGAGAGTTGAGTATCACAACTGAGTATCAAGTTGAGTATCATACATAAAAGGCTGGGACCACAGTAGGAATTTGACTTTTTCCATTTTTTGTTTGTATAAACTCATCAGCTGAGTGAAGGCAGTTTTTAAGTAACAGAAAAATAAGTGGTGTGCTCTGTGTGGTTTTTTAAATGTTTGAGTACTTTTAAGAGCTGTTTATCTCATTCTAAAGCCTAGTATGCTGTGCTAAAACAAAAGAGCATTTTTGTCTCTGCATCTCATTTCCTTCTGAAATCACAGCAGTACCTTTCCTACCCTGCCTCACTCACTCATTCATTCTGCAAATGTTGTGAGTGTTTACTCAGGGTACTATGAGTTCACAGGGAAGATGGGCACAAACTGGTCATTTTATTTATTACTTATTTTTTATTTTTACTTTTTAAAGATTTTATTTATTTATTCATGAGAGATGGGGGGAGGTGGCAGAAACACAGAGGGAGAAGCAGGCTCCATGCAGGGAGCCTGATGTGGGACTCGATCCCTGGTCTCCAGGATCAGGCCCTGGGCTGAAGGTGGCGCTAAACCGCTGAGCCACCTGGGCTGGTCATTTTATTTTATTTTTTATTTATTTATTTTTTTATTAAAGATTTTATTTATTTATTTATAGAGACATAGAGAGAGAATGAGAGGCAGAGACACAGGCAGAGGGAGAAGCAGGCTCCATGCAGAGAGCCCGACATGGGACTCGATCCAGGGTCTCCAGGATCATGCCCCAGGCTGCAGGCAGCGCCAAACCGCTGCGCCACAGGGGCTGCCCGACTGGTCATTTTAAAACTGGTCATTTTAAAGTAGCATGGTAGGTGGAATGATAGCGATAGGCATGAGCAGGAAATGATTGGTTAAGAGGGAGGGATAACTTTCTGTATTTAAATTCTTAACATGTCTTTTATTTTCACCAGTAATACTTAGAAGCTTAAAAAAAAAATCTCCTACCTTATATAGTTCTGCTCTATTATTATAAGATTAATGCAGCTGTGGTAATATCAGTCCAGAGCTATTAGGTGGTACTGTTTGGAATATTTATCTCTTACTGGTGAAGCTGTTAGGAGAGAGGGTAAGAGAAAGGAAATACAGTGTTTCAGCTTGTGAAAAACTCTCCTTTTGTACTCAACACAGACTTCTTTCGCTGGAGAAAAACCTAGCATTGGTGCTGTGTTCCAGCAGAATCCTTTGGTGTTGGAGCCAGTGCCCGTGGCTGGGGAGGCTGCTTCCAAGCCAGCCAGCAGCATGAAGCCTGCCTGTCCAGCCAGTACATCTCCCTTAAACTGGCTGGCAGACCTAACCAGCGGGAATGTCAACAAGGAAAACAAAGGTGAGGGTTTCCTGCTTTCCTGTGGGTTCCTGAGAACTTTAATCCATGAGGGGATCGGCAAACTCAGTTGCTGTCAGAACAGTGTGATTAGAAGTGTGTGGAATGGAAAGTGGTGGTTCCCTGTAGTCACCAGCAAGACCTGACAGAAATGCAAATATTTTTAAAATGCAGTCCCAAGGGGGCACCTGGGTGGTTCATTTGGTTAAGCATCCAACTCTTGGCTTCAGCTCAGTTTTTTTTTTTTTTTTTTTTTTTAAATTTTTATTTATTTATGATAGTCACACAGAGAGAGAGAGAGAGAGAGGCAGAGACACAGGCAGAGGGAGAAGCAGGCTCCATGCACCGGGAGCCGGACGTGGGATTCGATCCGGGGTCTCCAGGATCACGCCCTGGGCCAAAGGCAGGCGCCAAACCGCTGCGCCACCCAGGGATCCCCAGCTCAGTTTTTGATCTCAAAGTTTTGACAAGTTCAGGCTCCATGTTGGACTCCATGCTGGGTGTGGAGCCTACATAAAAAAAAAAAAAAAAAAAAAAAAAAAAACATACAGCCCCAAAACGGAGAACTTCTGACAGTAGAACTATAGGTTGAGGTTGTGTTTGGCAAGAAAGGAGTAGGCTGAGACTTGTGTGTTTTAATAAATGATTTCCACATTACTGTCCTTACCCTATTTGTCATTCCTGTTTTGTCTGATTACAATGTTTTGGCTTCAGTTTTATTTTTCTCTATGTTGTTAGGGTGCTTGATGACAATATGAAGAATATGGGCTTTGGAATCAGGTAGATTAGAGTTTATGTGATTCTTCTTTTTTAGTTATGTTATAAGAAAGAAAAATTGCAGGTTGATTTCTTTCCTGCAAAGATCCTAAACAAAATTTTATTCAACAGAATTCAGCACTCTAAATAAAGGAATTCTATGGCATGACCAAAGCAGGGCTTAAGAAATGTGGTGTAGTTTAATATTGAAAATGTAGGAGAAAAGTCATGTAGCAAGACACAAAAAGTACTGAAATTTAAATTCATGATTTAAAAATAACCCTTTAATTAGGAACAATAATGGATTTCTACAATAAAACTGACAAACATCATAATGACTGATTTTGTTTTTAATTGGTTGAATATTTTTTTAACAGTTTGCCTCTGTTCAGGAATAAGAGGATACCTGTCATCACTGTTTTGTTAACATTGTACTGGAAGTCCTGGCTGTTGAAGTAAGGCAAACAAACAAAAAGATACTAAGATTGGAAAGAAAGTGATAAAGCTGATATTTTAGACAATCTGATTATAGATGTGAAAAATTTAAAAGCATATTTAATAAAAATATATCAAGGTTGCTAGTTCCAATGTTAATTTACAAAAATAAGTTGTATTTTGTGTACCAAACAAATAGAAAATGGAAGTTTAAAAAATGTCATTTGGATCATATGATTTCACTCATCTGTGGAATCTAAAAGAAAGAAACAAATAATAAAAAGTGGAATCAGACCTGTAATTGCCCAGGTGGGACGTGGAGGGATGGGTGATAGGGAGGGGAGATCTAGGCTTTAAGGTATGGAATGAGGAAGACATGGGAATAAAAGCACAACACGGGAAGTCCAGTCAGTGATACTTTAAGTGTCAGTATGGGGACAGATGGGACCTGCACGTGTAGTGAGAAGACCATAACATATGGAGAAGTTGAATCACGATGTTGTACACCTGAAACTATAAAGGAATGTTGTGTGTCATCTATACTGGAAAGAAAAAAAAGACATTAAAAACAACAACAAAAAAAACCTTTAATGTAACATCACCTTGAACGTTGGGTATTTATTGTTTTAATATCAGTTGAAAATCCTTGTCTAAATTGATGATTTCATTAGTATCTATCCTCTTAAGTTTTTTGGTTCTAAAGTAAAGGAAAATGAAGTTCCAAGATAATTCTATTAACAGACGGTAAGTAAGGGATTTGCCTTTCGGAATGCTTTTCCATCTTTCCATCTGGATGTTTTTGGTTTTGTTTCTAGAAAAACAACCAACGATGCCAATTCTAAAGAATGAAATCAAATGCCTTCCACCCCTCCCTCCTTTGAGCAAATCCAGCACAGTCCTCCACACCTTTAACAGCACAATTTTAACACCTGTAAGCAACAACAATTCTGGTTTCCTCCGAAATCTCTTGAATTCCTCTACAGGAAAGGTATAAATTTGTTTTCTTGTTTGTATTCCACCTCGTAAAAATAGAACAGGAAGAGACTAGAGAAATTGAAACAGATAGTAGAAAGAAGATAAGAATCTTAGGCTTTCTTTCATGGGTACAGGTTTCATTGGCAGGTGGGCTTCACAGGGTTATAGTACCAAGCTGGGCCATTTTCTCCTGTTGAACTTTTTTTCTGTACCTATTTCTGTGAGTTGTAATGTCAAGTGAGGGAAAGGGACTTAACCTATTTGTCTTAGGATCCCGATTTGGATTCTTTTGGATATGTGATTCTCATCCTACCATTATAGAAATGAGTTTTTTGATGGTAGGGATTGACCTATTTAACACTTGTGTTCTTTCTCAAATTCAGACAGAAAATGGACTGAAGAATACACCAAAAATCCTTGATGACATCTTTGCCTCTTTGGTGCAAAATAAGACTTCCTCTGATTTATCTAAGAGGCCTCAAGGACTGACCATTAAGCCCAGCATTCTGGGCTTTGACACTCCTCATTACTGGCTCTGTGATAATCGCTTGCTGTGCCTCCAGGATCCCAACAACAAGAGCAACTGGAATGTGTTTAGGGAGTGCTGGAAACAAGGACAGGTAAGTGTGGCCTCTGCTTCCCCAGCCCAATTCAGATCCCCTTTCTCAGATCTTTTGGCAGGCTTCTGACAATCCCACCCCACCCCCACCCTTCCATTGTAAGTGGTACATACTTTGTCTGCTGTTTTTGTACTTTATTGTTTAGGCCGAATATAATTGGGGCACTATAGCTGTGAATCTTATTTTTTACAACAGATATTCCCAAGCACTCTTTCAGTGAGGTTTTGCTTGCTTCTAAACCAGTCATCTTTGGGTTTTGATGAATGCTCTTGGCTCAGTGATTCTTGGGTGATCCACCTCAACAGGAGTGAGAGACTGAGAGGCTGATGGGGTTTGGCAAATGGACAAAATCAAAATCATGTCTCCCTCTTCCTTGAACTAAAATCCTGATGCTGAAGGCAGTTTTAGGTGGGCCAGAGCCTTGTGCTCTCTTGGAATTGGTGTATAGTCCCCCAAGGTTCTGCATTGTTGGATATTAGGTTGTGGTTGATGGTTTGAGAGATGCATGGGTTTGTAGACCTGCTCCTCTGCTTTCCCGTTTTGTTTGTTGTATTCTGGATCTTTGGCTTCTCTTGTGGGCCAAATGGATCCTCACTAAAGGAACACTGTGCTCTTGGACAAGGCCAGGGCTTGGAGAATTACCAAATAGAGAAATGTACGTATTTAACCAAAAGAAAGTTCTTACATTTCTTTTCAGCTCTGTATACTAACTAATAAGATTTGTTCATGATGATGATGACGACAGGCTAAATATGATACACCAGCCGTGTTTTGTTTGCATTCCTCAGTGTTTAAAAATACTGAACTCACCAATATTTTAGTTAGGCTGTTTCCCATAAAGATTGGGATTTCTGGCTTGTCTTGGCATCTGAGGTCCAAGTTACTGCCTGGCAGCAGTAGGCTGGAGACCAGCAGCAGCACCCTTTTTAGACAGGACACTCCCACCACCTTCGTCTTTCCTTTACATTCCCTGCCCAGTCCTGCACCTTAGTGGTGGTATTCTGTGAGGAATGGCATCTGAGTCAGAAGATGTGATCCTGACTTCTAGAAGCTTACTAATGTAGTTAAGAGAGCAAGGAGTACGTGAAGAGTAGGGCACCTGGGTGGGTCAGTGGTGGAGCATCTGCTTTTGGCTCAGGTTGTGATCCTGAGGTCCTGGGATTGAATTCCACATCAGGCTCCCTCTGGGGAGCCTGCTTCACCCTCTACCTGTTTCTCTTTCTCTGTGTGTCTCAATGAATGAATGAATGAATTTTTTAAAAAAGGAGTACGTGAAGATAAGAAATGTTGTGGGAGCTCAGGACACTGCTGTCATTTCAGGATCTGACATTGAGGACCAGCCACAGAAAACCAGACAAGTAGCTGTTTGTAAAGGGGCTATCACTGGTTTGGGGACAGAGCTGGGGGAGTTCAAACTAAAGCCTTCATTCTCTTCTTTTAGCCAGTGATGGTGTCAGGAGTGCATCATAAATTGAACACTGACCTTTGGAAACCTGAATCCTTCAGGAAAGAGTTTGGGAATCAAGAAGTCGACCTAGTTAACTGTAGGACCAATGAAATCATCACAGGAGCGACAGTAGGAGACTTCTGGGATGGATTTGAAGATGTTCCAAGTATGTATTTAAAGACCTTTTAGGGGAATGAGGATGTGAAAGGAGGGCACAACAATAGCAGGAATCTGAAGCCCTTTAGTGGCAACAACAGCATTGTCCATGATCCTGGAGTTTATTTTATTTTATTTTATTTTATTTTATTTTATTTTATTTTATATTTTATTTTATTTTATTTTATTTTATTTTATTTTATTTTATTTATTTTATTTTATTTTATTTTATTTTATTTATTTTATTTTATTTTATTTTATTTATTTTATTTTATTTTATTTTATTTTATTTTATTATTTTATTTATTTTATTTGATCCTGGAGTTTAAAATTTGTGTCTTCTTTTTCACCTTCATTTTTAAAAGTTTATGCTATCGAACTGAGGCATATTTATACTTTGTAGTTCCATAGAGAGGTGAGGTTTTCATCATCTGTTCTTCAGGTAGCTTCATGTCTGTCCTGTGACAGAAATTCTCTGCTTCCACTTGAGCCCAGTGGGAAGGACAGCACAGAACTGGGGTTTGTGACTCCAAAGCTGGTGATTTTATGCGTGTCTTAACCTTCATACATCCTTTTTACTTTAAAAAATTTTAATTACTGTTTAACAAGATAGGTAGACCTGAAGATGTCAGGGAATGTGAATTTATTTAACACTGGGTATCCTGGTCGCCACCTACTGCATCTTTGCTGCGAGCCACTGAGGCACTAAGGAGGTTTGTGTGTCTAATGCTGAGGCTGCCCCCTCTGTGTATCGGCCAGTCAGTAAACTGCTTCCAGGAATGTCAAGTTCATGCTGGGTCCGGGGGAGTCCCATTGGCACAGATACCCATCATCAGGCCCCCATCTCTGCTGGAGGGTTTGGCCAGTTCATTCTTCAGACCAGAAGTCATTCAAGTTCACTCATTCATCACTCTCATTACTTTAGACACATACATTTTAATCTATTGCTTCCTTATTCTTTTTACCCACATTTACAGATTATAGCTCCTACTTTCAACAAGCTTTATATTTACAGCAAAGTTAAGAGCTGAGTCTTTAATACAAGGCATGATGGGGTTTTCCACAAGTAGAAGCTGAGATGGAGTTTCAGACCAAAGCTGGCTACTTAGGGACCAGCGTCTGTAAAATGGAAGGAGGAAGTGAGACTGCTCAGGACGAGGAGTCAGCTGCAGTGCAGACACTGCAAAGCCTTGGCCAGTCTTGCCAGGGGTTTCTGAGATGAGGATTGCCCTTCATTGTCTCAGATTGGGCTGAGGTGGGAAATGTCAGGGCCTTTGTCCCCCTACCTCCCTCAGTCTTTAGAGACTGGGGCCCCAGGAAAGACATGACCTAGCAAGGCAGTGCTTTTCAGCTGAAGTGGACCCTAAAAGCTGTGTCTGGGCAAGAAGTTTTCTGAAGCTTTCCAGTTAGGCCTGAGTTCAAATCCTGTCTTTTGATATGTCCTTGTGTATATGAGCATGGTAACTTAATTTTTCTGGGACTCAAACTCCTTCATGCTGGCAGATGGTGAAAACAGCTCCAAGTCAACTATAGCTTTCCTGTTCTATACTGATGATTCTGCTGCACACACCCCCAGCACACCACCCACACAGACATACTGCTGGTATTCTGAACATACACTGTACCCTGTTTTTTCTTTGTTTCTTTCTGGAGAATGCACTTATGTAAACAAGGTTATGGGACAGTACTTAGTTGACTACAAAACATACAGATGTTAGTCCTCAAGAGTACAAGGCCTGAAGTTAAACCTGGATTCCAGTTCCAATTCTGCCCCTTAGTAGCTGGATGACCTTGAGTGTGTCTGTCAGTTTCCTTATCCCCAAATGGGAATATTAAATGGTGGCTAGTCTCATGGAGTTGTTGGGTTGAGTTGTAAGGATTAAATGGTTAAGACACTTAGCAGAGAATGGAACACAGCAAGAAATGAAATAATAGTGGTTATTGCTCTTGATCATAATTATCAACATCTTTTTTAATTAGAGCTCCTTGGTTCTTGGTTCCTTGCCATTACCTCGGTAATAGTTCTGACTAATAGTTCTGACTAAACCATGTGGTACTACTGGCCCTCCTCCCTGGATAGAACATCAGGTAGTTTCAGTCTCTCTGAGCAAAACAAGTCATGGTAGCCTCAGAAAATCTAGTCTACTACACATCTGTGGCCTCTAATTATTAAAGTGCATTGCTGTTTATCAGTTAGGAGCTGCTCACTTCTTTCAGAACACTGTATTAGAGGAAGATACTGGATCTGAGATGGACAACTGTCAGAACACCAACCATGTGTAATGGGCAAAAGAGGGTGGCTGAAATCTCAAAGAATGAAAACCAGTTTAATAAGCATCTAGAAAAGATCAGTTGGTAATTTTTATTTTGGTATCCCTGTGCTACCCAGGTATGAATGGGTTTCTTGGCAGTGTAGAAATAAAATAGTTGGTGATTGGCAGGAGGGGAATATTAAAAATAATATTTGTGTACTAAATGTATGGGTTATGAAGATTCTGCAAAGAAAAATTTTATTTGCATTATTAAGCATAAAATGCCATTATATTTTGGTCTGTTTCTGAGCTGTGAACAGTAACAATTCAGTAATTCTGGTTACCTTTCAGACCGCTTGAAAAATGAAAAAGAACCAATGGTGTTGAAACTTAAGGACTGGCCACCAGGAGAAGATTTTAGAGATATGATGCCTTCTAGGTATGATTAATTGGCGGGGGGAGGAATGATTCTGTCCTTAAAATTCTTTTTAAGGTGGTGAGAAAAGAGTCTTCAAAAGGAAAAGATGAAATATGGAGTAGTGTTACTGGTACTGTCTTATTTGCAGACTATAGTCTTTGGAGGTATGTGTTTTAAATGAGAGAAGTGATTGATTTTGAGATCTGGCTGAATTAATGAAGCTTCACACATTTCCACTGTTAGTGCTCTGCCAGAGAAAAGGCCAGATGAGGTGTGCAGCCTCTGACTTAGAGGCAATACTGGGATTGGACATTTCAGGGTTCAGTGTAATGATATTGCATTAGTAAGACAAATGAGTTGGTAGATCCATTTTCCTGATTTGAGCTTGAAATTTGGAAAGGATCCTTAGAACAAATGAATAATACATTCCTGAGTGTCACTTCTTATCAGGAAGTTACTGCTCAAATCTTTTGTCTGAAGTATTCCAGGTCATTTTGATAAAGATGTGTGCTGTATGAGAGAAAGAAGACATCTTTGTTTATAACTCCTATAATTCTAATCTTAAACATTATTCAAGGAAAGCTGTCTCCATCTTTATAAGCACAGATGTATTTATTCTTTTAGGTAAGGAACAGAACAGATCAGACAGTGATGGATTAGATCTAAGGCAAGCTTATTTTGTAAATGCTTGGTTCTCTTGTCCTAGGTTTGATGATCTGATGGCCAATATCCCATTGCCTGAGTATACAAGGAGAGATGGCAAACTAAACTTGGCCTCCAGGCTGCCAAACTACTTCGTGAGGCCAGATCTCGGTCCGAAGATGTATAATGCTTACGGTAAGGAAGAAATGGCTAACTTAAAAAAATTACAATGGAGATAGAGCATGTCAGAATGTCTGGAAAATTGCTTTTGGGGGAGGTAGAGATGGAAGACCTCTGTAGTCCTGTTACTTCACACAGCAATAGGCTTTATTTTCCCATATTTCCTTTCATTTCTTCTCATGTATATTTCCCTTTCATAGTAGGGTATGTGCAATTTTTTATTTTTCTTTTTTCTGCATTTCATGTTCTATTACACAATCTTTATGTTGCTTAGTAGTTTATAGTGTGATAATTTTTGATGGTTGTAGAGTACATCATCAAATCTGATTTTGTTACTCATTTTAAAGTCCATCTGCTAGCATTCCAGTTGGTTTTTTTTTTTAAGATTTTATTTATTATTCATTAGAAACAGAGGCAGAGGCCTAGGCAGAGGAAGAAGCAGACTCCCTGTGGGGAGCCTGATGTGGGGAGCCTGATGCGGGAAGCCTCACAACTTGAGCTGAAGGCAGATGCTCAACCACTGAGCCATCCAGTTGCCCCCATTCCAGCTGTTTTAACATCTGCCACACTTAAATATCCCTGTTGGGGTAGTAGTTTGTTACTTAAGTTAGTTTTGGAAGCATCCTTTGAATTGGATTTTCATCGTGTAGATATGACTCAGTAAACTATCCCAACATGAAGGATTGCATAGGAATAGAGATTGATTTCCTTAGTTACCAGGGTCATATTTCATCATTATTACTGTGACCTTAACCAGTTTCATGTTGAGGTTTTAGTTAGGTCTTGATTATAGTTGACTGTTTTGAAGGAATTGTTACCAATTGATTGTTGAATGAAGTTTCAGTTTGGGTCATTTAGTGATTTTGCTTTAGTTTTTTATTTGAACCCCATTTTTCCAGTCCTTCTAGAAATTACTGCTTTGATTTTATTCTGTCCTCCCATAATTACTCTAAACTCCAGTCTCTCAGACCTGAGGATGGCAGAGTCTTTCGGCATCTTTGCTGTGTTCTCCAGAGACTATTGGGGGACAAGAAGAGCAAGGGCTTAGATCTCAGCCCCACAGTTCTTCTTTTATGGTAGAGTCAGTCCAGGGATACACCTGGAATGAGGTCAGGGAGCATTTCGAGAAGGGAGTTGATGTTGGGAAACTCCCATGATCTAGATGCCTGAGATCATTCTGCCAGGTAGGGTGTGAGAAGTGGTCTGTGGGAGAGAGTACACAGCAGGCAGAAGCCCCCTGACCTATTTCCCTTTATATTTTGGGTCTCAGTTTAGAGAGCCCTGCGTATGCTTTGGAGCTGCAGCATGTTCTCTGGCTGAGTTTCCTTCCCTCAAGCCCTGGAGAGCAGCTAGTTAGTTGGGGGTCTCAGGGCATACTGTCTTTCCAGCAGAGACTTACAATGAATTTATGTGAATGAAAATATTTTTCCCGCTGAAATAAGTGATGTAATATTACACATAGTAATTATCCCTGCTTTGTAGGCCTCATGAAGCTTATGGGGTAAAAGTGATTATCTGAGAAGTTTCAGAATAAATTGTCTGCTTGGATTAAATATTAGTTTGGCCGCATAGACATCAACAGATAGATGGCAGTATTCCTCTGTAAAAGCTTTATCTCTGACAAAATTGTTCCTATCCAGAGTAAGCAGCTAGGGATTGAAAAAAAATGAAAATATGTTCATTTTCAAATACTTAGACCTTATCATAAACATTAGAGAATGATCACTTTCAAAGGTTGGGTGACTGACTGAGCTGGGACCCCTTAGAGTAGAGTGAAAAGCTCTGTGGAGACATATAGTCAACATCTTTCTAGCTCCAGGACACCATGAGTTTCACAGATGGGGGCAGAGACAGTGACCTGCTCAGGATGTATAAGGGGCAGTCAGTAGCAGGTCTGGGACTAGAATGTTCAGTCTCCTGATTTCCAGGCTAGTTCTGCTCTTCCCCCAACTCCAGTGCTGTCACCCAGCAGCCCCTGTTGTGTCAACTCATGTGCTTTTCATAAATCGATGGTGTTATGTTCCAGGATTTTCTATTTTCTGGGAATCCTTCCCCCAGGACCTTCGTGTTTTTATACTCTTGGTCCTGTTGGAGTTGAGGCTTTCTCTGGTTAGAGACTGTTTTCTTAGTGTGCAGTCATCTGTAGCTGTATGTGGTTGAGTGCTGGGCTGGTAGCTGGGTAGGTGTCACTTCCTTCATCGTTTGGCACAAGTCTTTCCACCTGTTTGGCACTGGCCAGAGAGCAAGTCGCCTGACAAAGTTTTGAGACTATTCACCCTTCCTCCCTTTCCTCCCACCTTGGTGCCCTTCCTTCCTCCCACAGTGTTAACTGCTGGCCTGTAGTTTGTGTTTATCATTCCCTTATGTTTGTAATGCTACTATATATACTTGTATTCCCACAAAATATTCTTTCAGTTTTAACCTGTGTTTGAGCTTTATAGAAGTAGAATCAGACTTTTGGATCATCATCCATGCTATCATTTATAATTGTCCATTTCATTCATTTTCCTCTTATTGCTTTTCCTTCTTAAGTTTTAATTTTTTTACTTTTTATTAGTGAAAAGCTTCCAAATATACCCGTAACTTGAGAAACTAATAGAGTGACTCCCCATATACTGGTCGCCCAGTTATAGCAGCTTTCAGTGTTTTGCCGTGATTGTTTCATTATTCCATCCTGTCCTGTTTTTCCTTTACAATTTAAAGCATATCCTTTGATTTTGCCTAAATACTTATTGTTTAGCCCTCTCCTAAGACTAATATTTCAGCCAAATGGAAAGAAAGGAAATCACTACACTGCTCTTAGGGCCATAGTCCCAGGTTGAAATAAAGGGGTGGAGGGGTACCCCTCTCCTGTATAGAGCTGCTCCTGAAACTGCAAGGCTCTGGCAAGCTGGATGGAAGTCCCTTGGCTGCCTCCAAACAAGACTGCTGTTCCAGGGACTGGTGGGTTAACAAACAGCCTCTGCTTGCCCACTATGAGCCATGCTTCCCTTTGCTGCCCATTCAAGAGTCTTCATGTCAGGGAAGGCCATCTACGGTGACCACAGGGCTCAATGAGCCTCGGGGTGACTGCGAGCAATGCGAGTCTTTTCATGGGGGTAAGAGATTAAAGTTTCAGACTATGAGCACCAACCAGGACCTCATACTATAGCTCACTCCTTCATTCTGTTCCCCTCCCCCCTATTTTTTAACATTTGGAGGAACCAAGGACTGCATTGGGCAGTGTTCTCTTTTGTTTTGAGTGTTATAGCCAGTTGAGTTCCCAGCTTAATGTGTATATGAGAGCTTTCTGTTAGACTCCCCATCTTGAGTAGGCCTTGGGCCTTAGGTTGTGCCCAGAGCACTCTAGGCTATGACAACCAAAGCTTAAGAATTGGCAGAGCACATGTCCTTTTGGCAAATTCCAGCTTTAAGAGCCACTTTACCATTCCTGAGTCTTGCTTTCTCGTTTTTTGGCTTATGAGTATTTAGTATTTCTTCTTTTCTTGCCAGCACACTGATTCATTAAAAAAATTTTTTTTTCAATAATTGCATCCAGGATTTTTAGTTATTCTTAGCAGAGGATCTGTCAAGGACTTATTTTGCCTGACACCAGAAACAGAAGTCCTAGTAGTATAAGGACTTCGTTTTTTATTTTCGTAATTAAGTATTTGAGATTATTTTCTTTCAAAGTTGAAAGGATAACATAATTTAATATTATATGTTGTTCCCTTACCTTTTACATGATTTTGAGAGGCACCTTTTAAATTTTGTGACCAGATATCTCCTAGGAAGTGGGAAAGACAATTGGTAGCCTTTATCATCTCCATAAATTTAAAATGTTTTCTGTTGGCAGGATTAATTACTCCAGAAGACAGGAAATATGGAACAACAAATCTTCACTTAGATGTATCTGATGCAGCTAATGTCATGGTATATGTGGGAATTCCCAAGGGACAGTGTGACCAAGAAGAAGGTAGGGTGCTAAGTGTAAAAGTGGGTCTTACTCTCTGAGCTGGAGACTATGGTCTGATACTTGCTTCTTCTTGCTCCAGAAGTCCTTAAAACCATCCAAGACGGAGATTCTGATGAACTCACAATAAAGCGATTTATTGAAGGAAAAGAGAAGCCAGGAGCCCTCTGGCACATATATGCTGCGAAGGACACAGAGAAAATACGAGAATTCCTTAAAAAGGTGTGCTTTCCACCCTATGGCTTATGAAGAGAGACATAGAGATTACTCTGTGTCAGCAACTGACTGAGAAGTAATCACCACCTCAAAAGTTTAATAATCTCTGCATGTCAGATTGACTAGGCTGAAGCCAGTTGCTGAGGAACAGAGATTCTAAATGATCAGGTTCACATCTCTGAAAAGAGGGGGACTTGTCTTATGTCTTTGTTTTACATTAGAGCACATTTGGAGATTTTTGTGCTCTTTCAGCTTAGTTCCTCTGATTGTCTATTAGCATCCTTTTGTTTTTGTTGCCTTGAAAATCTAAAGACATTGTAATTCCTTGGCCCTTGATACCTGTGTTCTGAGTGAGTTACTTAGGTCCCTGGGGGTTTGTCTAGCCTTATGTAGTAGTAGGTCAGGAAAGCCTCAGGTATTATTGTGGCCATTAGGTTGCAAAGGATCATTGGAAAGGGATACAGGGATTTTTAAGATGCCAAGTTTCCAGTAGTTCTCTGGTTGTTCAGCTAGGCTGTGTGTGGAAGTTCTAGGCAACTGGAAAGATGTTGCATTTGGTTTTTATCAGCATTCAGGCTTTATTTGTGGCTGTTACTCTTCAGTTGTTCATGAGGATTAGATGTGAACACTCCTAACCTATTGCCTAGTACCAAGTAGGTCCTTAACCAGCACTGCTTTCAATCAAGGTATTTCTGACTTAGGATCATTTGACTCTTCCAAAACCTGCTGGTCACTATATTGGTTCTTTGATACTGTCTCCCTGAGTATGTGAGTCTGTGCTACCACTCTGTCTAGAATAAACAAATGTAATCTTTGGGACTGCTCTGTAACGCAGATTGTTAAGCGAATACAGATTGTTAATAACTGCAATATAGCCAGTCTGTTTCTAAGGAACTCAAGCCTACTTTATGTTCAAAAGTCTAGACCAAAATACTGTCCAAACATAGTATTTAGAAAAATATGCAAACTGCCAGAGATTACTGGAAATGACAGAAGGAAAACCACATTTTCTTACAGTCTTCTCTTGTTTCTTTCAGTTAATGTCTTTGAGCATTACTTGTCTCTTTGTGCCAATGGAGTACCTATAAAAGAAGGCCTGACATCTTCTGACTGTCCACACTATTTGAGGGTGGGGTGGGAAATTCCCTCATTGGGCTTTAGTGTGTTACTCAGTTTCATAATATTTCAAATGTATTCCAGGTATCAGAAGAGCAAGGTCAAGAAAACCCAGCAGACCATGATCCCATTCATGATCAGAGCTGGTATTTAGACCGATCACTAAGAAAGCGTCTCCATCAAGAATATGGAGTTCAAGGCTGGGCTATTGTACAGTTTCTTGGGGATGTGGTATTTATCCCAGCAGGAGCTCCACATCAGGCAAGAAACATTATTCTTTATTCTCTTTACACTAAGAATTTTTGCATATGTGTTACTGATGTAACTTGTGTTTTCCAGGTTCATAACTTATATAGCTGTATCAAAGTGGCTGAAGATTTTGTTTCTCCAGAGCATGTTAAACACTGTTTCTGGCTTACTCAGGAATTCCGTTATCTGTCACAGACTCATACCAATCATGAAGATAAATTACAGGTGAAAATAGCACTGATTTTTGACATTCTGTCTCTGGCTTCATGGCCCATTACTGACCTTATAAAAAGCGTCAGTGAACTTGGCCATGTCACACTTGGTGCAGTGAGTTGATGAAGTGGCTTCATGTGTAGTTCCTTTGTCAACCTAGGCCAATGAGGAATGAACATAGAGGAAGTCTCTCCTTGCTATTGTTTAGACTCTAAAGGACTATGCCCAAGAAAAAGACTTTAGTACTGAAAATGAATAGGTCTTTGGGGCACCTGGGTTGTACATTGGTTGAGTGAAATCCGATTCTGGTTTCAGTTTAGGTCGTGATCTCAGGGTTGTGAGATTGAGCCCTGTGTCAGGCTCTGCAGTGACTACAGAGAGTCTACTTGGGATTCTCTCTCCCTTTCTATCCTGCTGTGCAAGATCATGAGTGTGTACACACTTTCTCTCAAACAAATCTTTAAAAAAAAAAAAAAAGGAAAGGAAAGAAAACAAATAGATCTGACTTCTGATCCTGGCTCAACTGCCAGACATTGGTCTTGAACAAAGACTTACTGCTGTGTCATTCTTATCCTTGAGTAGAGCAGGACAGAATCTCTGGGATCCAAAAAGGATCTCAGAGAGTGGGTTTAAAGATGCTTTCAGTAGTGAATTATGTAACATAGTTTCATGTTTGGAAAACTAGGAGAACATGGAAGTTTTGAAAAATTGTATGTTGGGGCTAGCCTCTCCCTGTACTCACCAGGCTCAGGGTCATGGGACATTAAAACCTACGGAAGCAGGAAGAGGAGGCATGAGTCTAAAATGTGTATGAAATACTGGCCTGAAGGAGTCTAGTGGCCTTTTAAGTATTGATATCTTGAATACTGAGTTTTAAATTTGGAGAGATTGGTAGAGGAAATGTTTAGTCTTAGTGACAGATTTTAGATTTAGTGGTAAACTGACCATATTTTCTCCTGTTCTTTTAGGTGAAAAATGTTATCTACCATGCAGTGAAAGATGCAGTTGCTATGCTGAAAGCCAGTGAATCCAGTTTTGGCAAACCCTAAGGGTCCCAGAGACGCCTTAACCCCTGTACATTGGAAGTGAATTACTGGCAGCTGTTCAAACTCTTCAGGCAGGATTCCTGTGGACTTTGAGATTCATGTTACCTCATCTTCTTTTTTAAACTGTACCCAACTGGTAAGGGTACTCTGTCTAATGTATATTTCTAGTGTTTACACACACTAAATGTGTATATGTAGGAACTATTTACAGAACATGCATCCTTAAACTGTGACTTTTCACCTAGTGCAGAACTTCTACCATGCTGTAAAAACAAAACCTCTTATCAGCTCTGGAACAATATCTGCAGTTATTCTCCAGCTGTTGGGTTGGACAGCTTAGTCAAAATGGGTTTAAAACCATTAGAAATCACTGCACAGTTTATTTGGTTGTATTTTGTTTTGTGTCTGAGTACCCTCTCCCTCACCCCATAGGGTTCAGATGAGCAATGGAGGAAGTGACAGCTAACGATGCAGTTCCTGCTGTGTTGCATTAGAACTGGCATTATATAGCAGAAATCAACTACTGTACAATTCTTGGGTTTAACCATCTTTATTTAGTTCAATGGAGTTTTAATTTAAATGAAGCTTTGCTAATTTTAAGTGTTAAGCATTTTGCATTAAAGTATTCATATAATATTTTGACTCCACTTACTCCTCTGGTTGTGCATTCAACACACTTTTCTCAAATGTCACCAGGTGTAAGAGTTTGCTCTAGGAGCTCATCTTAAAAGCAGAGAAATTAGATGCTATAGTGATTTGTGAGTCATTATTATAATGCTAACATGAAAATAAGTTTCTTCTCAGCCAAGTGGAAACTTTGTCATACTTTTGCAAAGAAACACCACCAACCAATTAGCTAAATTTGGAGAAGTTAACCAAAAAAAAAAAAAAAAAAAAAAAATAGTGGCTGGTTAAATGGTTGTAAAAAGGTATTTCAGAGATTGAAATATGTTGTCTTTCTTCAGGCCTTTCATCAAGTAGAGTTTACAAATGAAAAGGAAATTATTATAAGTTTTAGAATAGTAGTATCTAAAACAATCCTTTCTAATGCAAGAAATTCATCAAGAAGCCACCTTTCTGTACCTTCCTGATTCTCTTAGATAACTATAGTTATTCTAAATAGAAGGACTAAAATTGAAATCAAGTAGTGGAAACAAGGCCTAGAGCCTGGATTTTTACTGTGTGCTCAGAGTAGGAAGTTGAAGATACCTGCCTAACTAATTCCAGCTGCCTCTTCAAGCCAAAACCTTTAATGGATGAACTTTAAAAAACATAAATTTCTTGAAAAGAGTAAGTAGAAGTATCTGCCCAATCTCAGTGGGAAACATATTCCCTGGGAATTCATCAGAAGCTCCTTTATACAGGTTTGGCTCTAGAATTGGCACTGCTACTTAGAAATTTCCCTCAGCTGAAATAGAAAAACTTAGATTCCTTTCTAGAAGAAACCAGTTTCAAGCCAGGCCTCAGGGGAGTGACAGTTCCAAGACTGTTATTCACAATCAAATAGGTTGTAACAACAAATATGAAAACTAAAAGCCACCAAGAACAAGAATGAGCAAGAACCTTCAGACTGCTATATTAAACCTGCAGAGATTTACAGACTGTAATGATCCAGTGTTATTTTATATTCTGAAATGTTTACTCTGTTAAAAAGAAATGAGAGTGAGGCACCTGGGGGGCTCAGTGGTTGAGCATCTATCTGCCTTTGGCTCAGGGCATGATCCTGGGGTCCTGGGATTGAGTCCCACATTGGGCTCCCTCTGCCTATGTCTCTTCCTCTCTGTGTCTCTCATGAATTTAAAAAAAAAAAATCTTAAAAAAAAATGAGAGTATAGGGATACGATGGAGGAATGAGATTTCCAGAAATTGACCAGACATGGAAAGAAGCTAAATAGAATTTATAGAAATGAGACATGGTTAAAATTAGAAACTTAGCAGATGAGTTGAACAACAAAAAAGGTTTTTATAAACTGAGAGATTGGTAAAAATACAGAATACAGCATTGAATAACAGGAAACTGTAAAGAGGTGTTAACTGATAAGCAGGACACCAGGGACTGAAAGCCAAAAGGATGGTAGGAGGGAGATGCTGTCAGAGACAAAATTTCCCAGTATTCACGACATGATCAGATTGGAGAAGCCCACTTAAATCAAGCAAGGTAAATTAAAAATCCACATAAAATAAGTTAAAGAATATGCAAACAAGTAGATTCTTAAAAACAGCTAGAGTGGGGAAAACCCAATCCTCAAATAAGTGACAGACTAACAGGTGACTTCTCCACAGCAACAGTGAAGGTTAGAAGAAAATAGACGCTCTCACTGTGCTGAAGAACAGAGCCCGAAACAGAAACACAGACAGCCAAATTCTTTCCCCGTTCTTTATGGAAACTTTCAGACAAAAACCAGAATTTATTTTCAGGCCCTCACTGAAGGAACTTTTAAGAACATCCTTAGGAAAGAAAACCCGTATCATGGAAGAAAAAAATTGAGGACAAGGGGAATTACAAAGTCCTGGATACGTTTAAACAATAATAGCATTAAACAATATTTTTAGACCTCAGGATAATTTTCCTTAAAATGTTAAACAACATATCCAGCAGCTCCACTCCTAGGTTTACTCAAAAGGATTGAAAACTAGGATTCAGATACCTGTATGCTCATGTTAATGGCAGCATTATTCACAAGAGCCAAAAGGTGGAAACAACCCAAGAGTCCATCAAGATGAAAGGATAAACAAGATGGGGCATATACATGCAGTAGAGCATTTTTTGGTCTTAAGAAAATTCGGGCACATGCTGCAACATGAGTGAATAAGCCATACCCAAGATAAATACGTGATTCCACTTACATGAGAAGTAATCATATTCTTAGAATAGTTAAATTTCATAGAGACAAAGTCGAATGAATGGTGTTGCCAGGGCAGGGAGGAAGAGGTAATGGAAGTTCCTGTTTAATGGGTAGAGTGTGTATATCTGTCTGGGATGATGAAGTTCTGGAGATGGATGGTGTTGATGATTGCATAACATTGTAAATGTACTTACCCACTGAATTGTACACTGAAAAATGATTAAAAATACTCAATTTTTTATTATGTATATTTTACCAAAATAAAAATCAACTCCCAAGTAGGGAAAGCCTTTGGAGTTGAATGAGAAAATGACATTCTTGGTTTTTAAAAACGGATTAGAAAGGCAGAAAAGGAACAAATGAGGCTTTTCTGAATACTCCAAATGCAAGATAAAGATGGTCTGACTGTAATAAAAGACTCGACTATATGCTGCTTATCAAAGATACAGTTTGACTATAGGTTAAAAGTAGAAGTACAGAAAAAACTACACCATGTAAACACAAGTCCTGGGAAAGTAAGTATGGCTATATTGATACCAATTTTAAGATAGAAGAGTATTACTAGAAAGTTTTTCATTTGTTTGGATTTAGAAAAAAATTTATTTGCTTATAGTTGACACAATGTTAGATTAGTTTGAGCTGTACAGGATTGGATAACTCTATACATTATATATGCTCACTACAAGTGTAGCTACCATCTGTTACCATACAATGCTATTACAATATCATTGACTACATTCCCTATGTTATACCTTTTATTCCTGTGACTTAATCTTTCTATACCTTGGAAGCCTGTATCTCCCACTCCCCTTCACCCATTTTGCCCATCTCCCACCTCTCTCTCCTCTGATGATCATCAGTTTATTCTCTGTATTTATGAATCTGGTACCCCTTTTTGTTTTTTTATTCATTTGTGGTTTTTTTAGATTCCACGTATGTGTGAAATCATAAGGTATTTGTATTGAGAGAAAAAGTTTTAGCGATCATAAAAGGGTCAACGCTGTGGGAAGTTCTAATATTCCTGGATACACACCTAATAGAGAGCATCAAAAGAAAATGAAGCAAAATTTGACAGAATTAAAGGGGAAAAGAAATTCACAATTGGTGGTTTTGCCTCTTTCCATAATTATTATAAACAGACATAAAACCAATGTAAGTATAAAATAATTGAACCTATCAAATGAGGATTTATTAGAACACTAAAGCCAATACTGTAAATAACACATTTCTTTCAAGTGCATATTGATTGTTCACCCAGGAAGACCATACACTGTAAATACATTTCAAGGATTAAGTTTCAATTATAAATTGAAATTGTATAAGTACGTTCTTGATGTGATGATAGTGGAATTTAACTAAAAATCAGTAAAAATATAACTGCAAAATTTCCAAATGCTGAGAAATTAGGCAGCATACTTCTAAGTAACCCATTGATCAAATAAGAAATCAGAATGGAAATTAAATATTTGAGACTGAATAATAAAAATACAACACTTTTTGGGATGCCTGGGTGGCTCAGTGGTTGAGTGTCTGCCTTTGGCTCAGGGTGTGGTCCTGGAGTCGCTGGATTGAGTCCCACATTGGGCTCCCCTCAGGGTGCCTGTTTCTCTATGTGTCTGCCTCTCTCTGTGTCTCTCATAAATAAATGAATAAAATATTAAAAAAAACTTCAAAAATAGTGGAATTCAGTCACAACAGTGCTTAGGAATGGTAGTTTTCAATGTATAAGAATAAGAAGGCTTAAATTACACATAAGTAATATATTTTGGAGATTTTTGCATCTTTGTTAGTAAAGGGTATTGGTCTAAAATTTTGAAATGTCTTTGTAATGTCAGGTTACAATATCAAAGTTCCAATCTCCTAAAAAAGGTTGGGAAATGTTTATATCTAATCTCTGAAAAAAATATATACAGTTGGCCCTTGAACAATAACCATTGAACTGCACACATCCACTTACACATGGATTTACTTAAATAGTTATATTGGAAAATTTTTTGGAGATTTGCAAAAATTTTTCAAAACTCTGAGATAAATCCTGTAGACTAAAAATACCCCCCAAATTAAAAAGGTATGTCATAAATGCATAAAATATATGTAGGTATTAGTCTTTTTACATTTATTACCATAAAATCTACACAAATCTATTATGAAAGATTTTTAATAAAACTGAAGCATGTAAACACAGACTGCATCGGGCCATTCCAGTCAAGAAAAGCAAATAGATGCAGTATGAAATAACTTCATAAAATTAGTATATTGTACTACTTTAATAATTTCATAACCACCTGTTATGTCAAGGTGAGCTCAAATAAAACACCAAGTGACTAGTCATCTCTGCATGAGCAGTTCATGTCTTCAGTAAATTACATATTGTATTAAAAGTGCTCTCTTGGAGTTGTCATGTATTTTTGTGTTGAGGGCAATGCCACAAACAGTAACACCAGGGGACCTGTATGAAGTGCTGCTAATGATGGAGGTGCTCCCAAGAAAAGTTAAAACCTTACAAGAAAAAGTTGAATTGTTTGATATGTCCTGTAGATTGAGATCTGCTGCTCCAGTTGCTCACCATTTCAAGATAAATGAATTCAGCTTAGGAACTGTTTGAAAAAAAATTCATCAAGTTATGGTTGTGCTACACCAACAGGTGCAAAACATTTTCTGTGAAATACTTTTTATCTTCTTGAAAATAAGCATTTGTGTGGGTTCAGGATTCCTGTAAGAAAGGCATGCCTATAGATTAATATCATTTGACAAAAACTTAAAGCAAAAGGAAGGCAAAGAATTTAAAGC